CATGTTTGGACATGATTGCATATACGTTGTTTCCTACATTAGACTGTGAGCCCCTTGAGAGGATATGTCTTTTGCCTTTCTTTGTATCCCCTAGCACAGTGCCTGGCTCACAATTGTCCTTTCATTCTTGAAGAGGGCCAAAATGACATCACTATGTTGGGGGTCAAGGTCCAGTATGTCCGACTGTGGCTGATCAGACCAATCCAAGCTTGGAAGGCTCTACCACAAGTTGGGCACAAAGAGTCCACATGAACATCTGGGGTGGAGATGACTCCAAATTTGCACATTTCGTGTTTCTCTCCAGCTACTGCAATTCTGCTTTGCTCACAGAGCACAGCTGCCTTCTTTGATGCGAGCACACCATGCGAGGCAGTCCTGTGCCAGTGTCTCCCATATCACGTAATTGATTCCAAAGTTCTTCAGAGAGATCTTGAGAGTGTCCTTGTATCACTTCTTCTGACCGCCATGTGAGTGCTTGCCTTGTGTGAGTTCTTCATAAAATAGTCTTTTAGACAAAAGTATGTTTGGCATTCGAACAATGTGGCCAGCCCATCATACTTGTGTTCTTTGCAGTAGAGTTTGAATACTTGGAAGTTTAGACTGAAAAAGGGCATCAGTGTCTGCTACTTTATCTTGCCAAGTGATCTTCAGAATCTTCCTAAGACAATTCAAATGGAAACGATTCAGTTTCCTGGCATGTCACTGAGGTCAGCACAACGGCTCTGTAGACCTTCAGTTTGGTAGTCAGTCTAATACCTCTTCTCTCCTACACTTTCCTTTGGAGCCTCCCAAACACTGAGCTAGCTCTGGCAATGTGTGTATCAGCCTTATCATCTATGTGTACATCCCTGGAAAGTATACTGCCAAGGTCAGTGAACTTATCCACAGCATTCAAAATTTCTCCATTTGCTATAACTGATGTATATACATATGTATAGTGTGGTACTGGCTAGTGGAGAACTTGTGTTTCCTTAGTGTTAATTGTTGCGCCAAAATTAGCACAAGCAGCAGAGAACTGAGCCATACTTTGCTGCATCTCAGCCTCAGAGGTTGCACTGAATGCACAATCATCTGCAAACAAAATGTCACATACTAATTCTCCCTCCACTTTAGACTTGGCTTGTAGCCTTTTCAAGTTACATAATCTACCATCAGTGTAATCTCGGACCTTAATGCCATTTTCAACCTTGTTGAAAGCATCTGACCACATTGCTGAAAACATCATGCTAAAAAGCATAGGAGCAAGCACGTAGCCCTGCCTCACTCCACTGCTGACTGGGAAAGCATGAGAGCATCATCAATTATCCAAAACCCATGAAAGCATGCCATCATAAAACTGCTGTGTAATACTGACGAACTTCTCCAAGCAATCAAATTTTGCCATAATTTTCCAAAAACCCTCATAACTTATCAAAGCCCTTGAGTGAAAGTTATGTAGAGACCTCTGTTCTGCTCCTGGCATTTCTCCTGGAGTCAGGCAGCAAACTTATCAACTGTTCCTTGGCCCTTTCTGAAGTCACACTGGCTTTCTTATAGATGGCCATCCTCCAGATGAAGGGTCAGCCTATTTTTTTTTCCTTTGGTGAGGCAATCGGTGTTAAGTGACTTGCCCAGGGTCACACAGCTAGTAAGTTTCAAGTGTCTGAAGCCATATTTGAACTCAGTTTCTCCTGACTCCAAGGCCAGAGTTCCATCTACTGTGCCATCTAGCTGCCCCAGGATCAGCCTATTATGGAAAACACTGGCAAGAATTTTGCCAGGAGTGGCTAAGAAACCACTCCCCACCTCATGATTGTCACAGGACAACCTATTTTCTTTACCTTTATAGAGGCAGACAATGGAGGTATCCTCGAACTCTTAGGGGATAACCTCCTCTTGCCATATAACCCAGAAAATTTCAGTCAGCTTTTGTAAGAGCAGTGGACCCCTTGTCTCATAAATCTCACCCAGGATAGAATCAGCACCAGGCACTTTGTCACATGAAAGGAGCTTAATGGCATCCAAAACCCCTTCTTCAGTTGGAAGTTCAACCTGAGGTATGCAGTCAATGGCTTCAGCAGTGCTTGAGGAGAGTCTGTTGAAAACACTACGGAAGCGTTCAGCCCATCTCTCCAGGATCATGTCCTTATCACTAGTCAACATGTGCTGAGTAGTTGAGATGCACCATAGGTCTTTGGCCCATCAGTAGCATTCAGGGCATTGTAAAAGTGCTTTGGATTGGTATTATCAGTGTAAAACCGAATTTGTTCTGCCTTCCTACTGAGCCAAGAATCCTGCATCTCTCTAAGCTTCACTTGTACCTTACTTTTGTTTATTGTTGTTATGGTTTTTCTTTCTTTCTTTCTTTCTTTCTTTCTTTCTTTCTTTCTTTCTTTCTTTCTTTCTTTCTTTCTTTCTTTCTTTCTTTCTTTCTCTTTCTTTTTTGGTGAGGCAATCTGGGTTAAGTGACTTGCTCAGGGTCACACAGCTAGTAAGTGTCAAGTGTCTGAGGCCGGATTTGAACTCAGGTCCTCCTTATTCCAAGTCTAGTGCTCTATCCACTGTGCCACCTAGCTGCCCCTTGTACGTTACTTTTGATGGAGTTAAATGCTGCCTTCTTAGAGATGGATGAACTATCCTGCTGGTAAACCTTGCGGAGTTCTCATTTTTTTTTTTCATTTTGCAGATTCTGACTTTTCCTATCATTCTCATCAAACAAATCTCGGTCTTTGCAAGTGTTCTGACCCAGTTAAGTAAATGCTATGCTATACACCAGATCTCTGAAAGCTGCCCACTCCTTTCTGCTCCACTGTTACCAACCATGTGTTGGCTCAGCTTTCCCTCCAAGTTAAAAACAAACTGTTCACGCAGGGAGAAGTGCTCTAATCTGTTGACATTGTCTCCTGGTAGTCATCTTGTCTTGGAGCTGCTGCTTTTGTTGAATGCAAATATTTAGGTTGGACAGGATAATACTACGATTAGTCCAGTGCTCTGTACCACACCTGACCTTCATCACTCTTATATCCTGTCATCTCTTCTCCTTACAATGACACAGTCTCTTAAATGCCAATGTTTGTTGAGAGGGTACATTCATGAAGTTTTACTGCATTTAGGCAGGTGGAAGACAGTGTTGGTGATGAGGTCATGAGACACACAAGGATTCGGTAGTAAGTGACCATTGCTGTTGCTCTTTCTGATTCCATTCCTCCCAAGGACTCCCTACCATGTCTGGTCATCTATACCTACTCTTGCATTAAAGTCACCCAGAATTATAAGCTCTTTTAGCACATTAATGATGAAGGTCTCCAAGTCTTCATAAATTCTTTTTCTTTGTCCTCAACAGGGTTCACCATGGACAGAGCATACACACATTGATGATCGTAATATAGTACTTTCTTGCAAGTGACAGCCTTATTGTCATGAGCCTGTTTTTTTCTCCTTTTGGGAGGCATACAAGCTTGTTGACTAGATTATTTTTGATTGCAAACCCTATGCCGGCTTCATGGCACTCCCCATCACTGTGACTACTCCAGAAAAATGTGTATCCTGCTATGACTTCAGTAACTTGGCCTCCATTTGCCAGCCTTGTATCAATCAAGGCTGCTATTTGGGTGTGATACCTACTTAGTTCTCTCAAAACAGCAAGGTCTACTGGATTTCGCATTGTCCATAAGTGTGCACACATTCCATATACCAAGGGTGAGTAGAATCATGTTTGCAAAAGGTTTTGTACATTTTTTTGTGTTTCAACAGCACGATGCGATTTCTCCTGGCCACGGTAAACAGGCCAGGATTGGGTGAAGCAGACGATTTTTAGGGCATCTTTTCTAGACCCTTCGTCACACCAAGAGGTGAGCAGTGCAATCCTTAAAAGGCTGCTTAGGCACCCAAGGGGCTGCTGAATCCCACTGCTGCTTCCAGTAAGGTGACCCTATGGCCTGGGCCACCCGTGTGCAGTATTGTGGCTACAGCTCCCAGTGTATCTGCATCTGCTGCTTCTTCACTTGCCAGTTGCCACAGGACTTTGAGGTAAGTAAAAATGGTAAAATGGTTTGGGTGATGTCTTTTGACTTGTGTGTATTTAAGTAAGGCAGAGTTGCCCAAAGTCATTGGCCTCACTCTTTCTTCCAGAGTCACTGAAGTCCAGTGGCAAGACAGAAATCAGGATGACTGGTAATAGCCAGCGATGCAGTGGATGACCTTGGCATCTTCATTGTCTGACTAAGCTCTAGGCACTCTACAGTTCCTGCTTCAGCCTTCATGGCCCATTGGAACAAATTGTTCTCATCTGCCCATTCTGGGGGAGGGGATGTCTTCACATATTTGTGATAGAGTACTATTATGATATAAGAAAGGATAGGTGGGGGACAGGGGGAGAGGGTTCAAAACAACATGGCAGGACTTACATGAACTGATGCAAAGTGAAGTGAAAAGAACCAGGAGATCACTGTGCTCAGTAACAACAATGTTGTAATGATGATCCACTGTGAAAGACTTGGATATTCTGATCAATACAATACAGATATTGCCAAAGGACTCATGATGAAAAAATACTATCCACCTCCGGAGAGAAGTAATAAACTGTGAGTGCAAGCTGAAGAAGCATAATTTTCTCTTTATTTTTCTTGCTTTTTTTTAATGTGACTAATATAGAAACATGTTTTGCATGATTTCAAATGCATAACTGATATCATATTGCTGCCTTCTCAGTAGGTAAAGGAGGGGTGGGAGAGAAAGAATTTGGAACTCAATTTTAAAAAAATGTTAAAAATAAATATTTTTTAAAAATAAATCAAATGAGATAATATATGTAAAGTGCTTTGTAAATCTTAAAGTGATATGAATTAGCTATTATTAATATTACTAATAAACACATTTACTTTTCTTAAAAAAAATATTTGTTTGTTGAACTTGACTTCATGGCTTGCAGGGAGAACAGTGGGTACGGGACAGCTGTCTTCCAATACATAAAGGCCGGTCGTGGGAAGAGGGGTCAGCTTGTTCTCTCCAGTTCCAGAGGGCAGAACTAGGAGCAATAAATGAATGAATATGTAAAGAGTCAAATGTAAGGGCGGTGTCAGGAAAACAAAAAGCTTTCCAAAGAGTGGAACGGGTTACCTATAGACAGCTCCCAGTTACTGCACAAACTGGATGACTGCTCCCAGGGGATGCTGTAGTTTAAGCATCTGACACTGTCGCCCCGCCCTCTCCCCAACCAATAACTAAACAGACCGCCTTCAATTGGTGAGCTTGACAGACGACAGGAGAATTCTCTCCACTGGTAGGCTGAAGCTGCTGTCACTTGGCCCGAGGCAGGCCCTAAGCTCGGCGCGAGGCACCCTGGGAGCTGTAGTCCAGAGTATCGCCCGTCTCCCGGGAGAGAAGCGGCGCAAGGACCTGGAGTCCCAGGGTCCCCCGCGTGTAGAGCCCTCAGGGGCTTCCGTCGAGCGAGCTGAGCGGAGCTGAGCGTTGCAGAGAAAAGCTGACTGGGCACCGGGACAGGCTGGTCGGGTCGGGGCTGGTGAGTGGGGGACGGGGTGGGGGCGCTTTATTCCCCAGCCGGCCTGGGACAGATGCCTGGACGCCGCAGCCCCTTTGGCCGGAAGAATGTGCGAGGCCCGGGAGCCGGAGCAGACCCCGCAGCGGCCTGCCCATTTTACAGCTGGGAAGACTGAGGTCCGGCAGGAACTCCGATTCCACATTCAGCGCTCAGAGCTGGCAGGGACCTCAGAGGCCATCTGGTGCAACCCTCCCCCATTTGCCGTCGAAGAAACTGGGTCCCAGAGAGGGGACAAGTTGTTCCTCGCACAGTGGGAACTCGACCCCAGGTCCTCAGACTGACTCCCAAACCCAGGGTCATAGATGACACTTTACCCCGAATCCACTTTTCTCCGTAGCGTTTGTTGAATGTTTTGAGAAGCTGCCCCAAACAGTGGAAGAAGAGCTGGATCCGGAGGTTAGGGAGCAGAGTTCTGTTTCCTCCTCGTCCTTTTATCGTCAGCCCTGCGCAAAAAAACCCTTATCAGTGATAATAGATAGCATTTATTTATCTCTTGATAAAGGTTATCTCATTTAATCTCATAACCCTGAGAGGCTGGTGTTGTCATTGTCCCCATTTTACAGTCGAAAAACAGAAGCAGACAGAGATGAAGTGGTTTGTCCAGGGTCACACTTTCGAGGTCACATCTGAACTCGAGTCTTCTTGCCTCTAGATCTAGTCCTCTATCTACTACATCGCCTAGCTGCCTTCAACAACCGCTTGTTGAATTCCAGCTTTCTATCTGTGTGACCTTGGGCAGATCTCCTATTTCTGTGCTTCGGTTTCTTCTTCGGTAAATTGAGGCATTTCCCTGCCAGCGCTAGGGCCCAGCTTCTTCACCCGGTTGACCCTTAATAAATTGAATGAACGAGTGGGTAGGTATGGGGCTTATTGAATAACTTTGTTTAGATACTAACCTAGAATATCTAAACAAAGGGAGAGTCCTGCCCTCATTACCTCGTGTGATGTTTCCCTAGATTACTGAGCTCATGATTTCACCCTCTATAAATTTAAAATACAGAACCTGAACAGTGCACCCTCACTGCTCCTTAGAAGCTTTACTCTGCTTCTTGCCTCCTAAATTCATTCTTCCACAGAAACTGTTCCAAGCTTTTTCTTTTTTCACAATCCCCCTCCTACACACACACACGCACGCACGCACGCACGCACACGCGCGCTCTCTCTCACTCTCTCTCATAGCCTTCTGTTTTACTGAGTAGATTAAGGTCATGTTCCCAGAGTTCCCTCAGTTTCCCTCATTCATTCTTTAAATCTTAGCATCATTTCACATTCTCTCTTCTTTTTTCTCAAAAGTAACCCCTTTTGTAACATAGCCTTTAGGGAGTTACCTGGAATGCTACAAGGTTAAGTAATTTGCCTATGGTCAAAGATGGTAGAGGCAGTGCTAGAACCTAAATCTAACTGACTTCAAGGCTGCCTTTCTACTCACTGTGCCAGTCTGGCTTTCTTTGCTACGACCATATCGGTGCCCTTGATTTCATCCTCTCTTATCTCTTCCAGGACCTTATCTCAACCATCATTTCCCTTTCTTTCTTCTTAACTTTCTTTTTTTCTTTCTTCCTTTCATTCCTCCTTCCTTCTTTTTTTCTTCCTTTCTTCCCTCTGTTCCTCCTTCCTGCCTTTATTTCTTCCTTCTTTCCTTTATTCCTTCCATTCTTCCTAGTCCTCCTTTCTTCCTTCCTCCCTCCCTTCTTCCCTCATCCTCCATCACTCTCTGTCCTTCCCTTCCCCCTTTCTCTCACATTGAATCTTTCTTCCACTGGCCCCTTCCCATCTATTCATTCAACAAGCAAGCATGCTCAGGTCTCCCCATTCTTAAAAACAATCTTCTGTTAATTCTTCTACTGAATCCTGCTACAGTCACCCATCTCTTCTCCCTCCCAGACAAGCTTTTTTTGGGGGAAAAAATCTCTACTTCTTCTTTCTTACCGCTCACTCTTTTCTCAGCTTCTTGCAATCTGGTTTCTGTCTCTACTTTTCTGAAGGTCACCAGTGACCTAATTACCAAATTCAATGACTTTTTTTTTCAATCATTATCCTTGACCTCTCTGTAGCATTTAACATTGTTCACCACTTCCCTCCTAGTGGATACTCTGCCCTCCTTTGGCTTTTCAAACTGCTGTTTCCCTGTCTCTGCTGATTTATCATCCTCTGTCTACTCTTTAATATTTCCCAGACTTCCACCATTGGCTCTTTTCTTTCTATATTCTCTCCTTCAGCAACCTAATTAGCTTTCAGGGCTTCAATGATCCAGCCTATGAAGAGAACTCCTAAATCTCTTTCTCTAGCCTAGATGAGTTCTAGAGCCATGAAACTGCCTAAATAAAATCTCTACTTGGATATCCTCCTACTATCTCAAACTAAGTATGTCTGAAGTCCAGCTTCTCATCTTTCCCCACAAAATCTGTACCTCCTTCTGACTTCACTATTTCTGTCAATGACCCCACAGTTTACCTAGAACCCCACATATAAAACCTTAGTGGCCTTTCTCATGTTAGTGGACACAGAGCTGGCCTCAAGACCAGGAAGATCCTGGGTTCAAGTGCCATTTCTGCTATACTGGCTCTATTATTTTATATGCATACACACACACACACACATACATACATATATACATATATATACTAAGAGGTTTAAGTGACTTGCCCAAGTATAGTAGTATAGCTAGTATAAGTTTACATACATATATATGTATATATACATATATATGTCTGTGTGTGTGTGTATATATATATATATATATATATATATACACATATATATATATGTATATATGTGTGTGTGTACTGCTACACTTGCTATACTGCTATACTTGGGCAAGTCACTTAAACCTCTTAGTGCTTCAGGCAGCCCTCTAAGACTGGAGGAAGGAGAAAAGGTGCCAACCTGAACTGGTACTGAAAATTTCTTCACCCAGAGTGCCCTAAGCTAAGAAACCACAGTTCCAGGCCCTGCTCCTATCTAAGCAGTTACTTGCCAGATCTTATTGATTCTACTTCTTCATTATCTCCTTTAGCCATCCCTCCTTATTTCCACTGCCAGAACCTAAGTGTAGAGGCCCTCATTACTACTCACCTATTATCTTCGAAGGGGTCATAGAATCATATAATCTCAGACCTGGAGAGACCTTAGAAATCATCTCTTCCAACCCACTCATGAACAGCACTCCTGACAAGTGATACTATAGTACCCACTTGAAGTCGGCCGGTGAGCAGTAAGCCACCACTTCCTAATGCAGCCCATTTTTCTCTGGGTTAGCTCTAATTATTGGACAACCTTTCCTTTTATCCTGCCCTCCCTCAGTCTTTTCTTCTCCAGACCAAACATTTCTCATTCCTTCTCTTTTTAACTACCTACTCATTTCCCTGCCTTCCTCCCTCCCTTGTTACCAGTCTAGCCTTCTTGCCATTGCTATACTGATGCATAAATCTAATGTCATTTTGGTGCTCAGAAACCTCGTTATGTCCTGCTGCAGGGGTGGGGAACCTGAAACCTTGAAGCTACATGTGGCTTTCTAGGTCCTTGCGGGTGGCCTTCTGACAGAGTCCAAGCTTTACAGAACAGATCCCTTTATTAAGGGGATTTGTTCTGTGAAGTTTGGATTCAGTCAAAGGGCTGCACTTGAGGACTTAGAGGGCCACATGTGGCCTCGAGGCTGCAAGTTCCCCACCCTTGTCCTAGTGGATCAAGTTTAGACGTCTGAATCCTGACATTCAAAGTCATCCATGCTCTGGCACCACTCAGCCTTATCTCATTATTTCCCATGTTCTCAGGACTCCAGACTGGACCACTCTCATGCTTTGCCTTTTCTTACCTCTGGCACCTTTGCTTAAGCTGTTTCCTGTTCTGGGAATTGTCCTCCCTTCCCCCATTTCCTGTTGGATTTTTGGCTATCCTTTAAAGTCTAACTCGAATGCCACTTCTCCAGAAAACATTCTGTAATTTCTCTAGCCCCCTATTGATAATGCACTTTCCTCCATTGAACCTCACACAGCATTTTGCTTGCATCTGTCTTATGTAATGACAGTGTATTATTTAATATTGGTTCTGTTTGTACTGCACCTCCTTTTTAGACTGCAATCTCTATGAGGACATGACTCATGTTTTATCTGAACTTTGTACTTCTTCCAGTTTAGAATATAGTGCTTAACACAAGGAATCACTTAATTCATTTTTTTGTCAAAGCAAATTTAAATTGAATTGTTCTGTTCTGCAAACCCGAGATGAAAATTGCTTTGTGTTCAGCCGCAGAGACTGCGGTTTCTCCTCTCCAGGGGGTGGTTCAGAGCACGGACCTGCCCATGCTCTTTAGTGTGTCTCTTTCTCCTTCCTTCTCCCCTACTTCACCCCCCTTCTCCCCAACTCTTCTTCAATCTCTCAGGTATTATCTTTACCTTCACTCAAGCCTTTGACCCTCACGCTAGTCCGTCACCTTGTTCTTTTGCTTATTTTTTCTAAATTAGATTCTGGTTATGTAACTTTTTCCATTTCATATAAAATGAAATATGGCCTTCAGTCAGGGTGCTGTCTTCCTTCCACCTCCCACCACACTCCCACCAAAGACATGCTAGCTATAGCTGATCTTGGGCAATGGAGCCTTGATTTTCTTCTCTGTAAAATGGTGATAGTACAGCACCTACGGGCTGTTGTGAATATCTGATGAGAGAACGTATATAAAGCACTTTGTACATCTTAAAGTGCTCTCTAAATGTCAACTGCTTTTATTGTTACTTGAACAACCTCTCTCCCAGGCTTCCTGTTTCTCCCCCTTTCCCTTATAAATCTCTAAGGATTCTCTTTATCACAATTTAATATGTCATTCTCATGTTAGGATTCTCCTGTGGGGCCCAGTTACTCCTTTGAGCAAATTAGAATGCCTCATAATGGAACGTAAAGCCCTCTACTGATCAGGCCTTCCATTAATTGAGTGCCCTCATTTCCTTTAGCCCCTCGGTTTATAGTATTTAGTCTGGCTAGCAAGACTTCCTTCTCTTCCCTCTCCTTCTGTTTCTGAGACTTGCGTAGTACGACCCTTTCTGCCTAGAATGCCCAACTGAACCCTTCCCCACCAAAATCCTTCAAGTTCAGCATCTTCCCTGAGACCGTCTCTCCAGCTTAATGACCTGACTCCAGTTGTTTTCACGCTCTCTGTGCTTCCTTCCCACACTTGCAATTATGTCTGTACAGTCATAGTTACTATGTGTATCTATGTATGTATGTAAGTACACTATGTAGAATTCATCTCTTATGGTGTATACACTTTCCTCACTTGGAAAATAGGGCTGATACTGGTGCAATCTACCCTCAAAGGGTGGTTGTGAGGAAGGTGTTTTACAAATGTGAAAAAGCTATAGAAACATGAATTACTGTTGTTGTTATATTGTTACTTATATTTATACAGTTTGTATTTGTGGGGATTTTATCACCCACTACTAACCTATAAGTGCCTGAGGACAGAAACTATGGTGGCTCCTCCAGTGTCAGTGTTAGTGTTGAGCAGTCAGTGCTGTCTGACTCTTCTGGAATTGAGCTCAGTTCCTGTTTTCTAGCTAAGTAGATATCCTGGTGTTTATTTAATTCTTTAAAGTTTTTTTCTGACTTAGGTTTCTGTTATCCCAGAGATAACTTTCAACAGTCTTTTTGTATTGGTATTATTTGTTTTTATACCACCTTCATTTCCCAAAATAATACTCCCTTTTCCTCCTAGAAAGCCATCATATAACTAATAATAATAATAATAAAAAAACCATTTACTATGTGCAGGCACTGGGCTAAACACTTTAAAAATATCATCCCATTTGATCATCACAACAACCCTGAGAGAGGTAAGTGCTAGTATTATTCCTGTTTTTACAAATGAGGAACTGAGGCAAACAGAGGTTAATGACTTGCCCAGAGTCACGAAGCTGCTAAGTATCTGAGGCCTAGCTCCCAATCCACTGCACCACCCAGCTGCCCAGTTAAAAGGGGGATGGGGTGGAGTCGTGACAATAGACCAAAATTACCAGCCACGGTTAACCAACATGTACATTCCTAGGCTGTGTTCTGGGAGCAAGGTGCATTTTCATACCTCTTTGGGGCCAAGCTTGGTCATAATTGTTTCCACTTATGTTGTTATAATCACTTGGTTATAGTGTATTCCTGGCTCTGCTACCTTCTGCATTAGCCCATATGAGCTTTCTCAAGCTTTTCTGTATTTGTTAGAGTCATTATTTCTTACGTCTAATTAATATTCCATTACATTCCTCTATCAGAACTTGTTTAGCTCCTCCCCAATTGATGAGCATCTTCTGTTCTTTACTACTACAAAAAGAGCTGCTATGAATGTTTTGTTGTATCTGGAACCATTTTATCACTGACATTTTGGAGGCATATGTCGTGTAGTGAGTGAGGGATCTCTGGGCCGAAAGGTTCAATTTTTAGTGAAATTAGATTACTTTAGTTACTTTCTTAGCATAATCATAAATTGCTTTACAGAATAGTTAGACCAATCACAGCTCCACCAGCGGTGTATTAGTGTGCCTACTTTTCTATAACTCCTCCAGCGTTGACAATGTTCAGATATGAGGTCAAACCTCAAAGTTGTTTTGATTTGCCCTTCTCTTACTAGTGACTGGGAACGTTCTTCATATAGTTGTTACTAATTTATCATTCTTCTTTTGAGAACTGTTCATACCTTCTGCCCACTGATGTACTTTCCTCGTGTACACTCAGAATAACTGAGTAGACTTGGCTATTCTCATGGTTCATAGCCTTTCAACTTCATAGGGCAGGAAAGTCAAATTTTCTAAGAAGAGATGAGGGAAGATATCTTTGGAACTCACTCACCAAGTCAATCCAACAAGTCCTTATGAAGCACCTGCTTGTGCCAGGCATTACAGATACAGTCTCTATTTCATGTAATATTGAAAAAAACTTACACTCCATAGGTGAGAAACAGCATGAACATAGATAATGAAATACAAAGTGATCTGTTTCACCCAGTGGGGGAGCGCTAACAATGGAAAAAATCAGAAAGATCTCTTGAAAGAGGCAGCACGTGAGGTGATCCTTGAAAGGAGTTAGGGATTCCAGAGTGAGAGAGAATGTTCTGGGCATGGGAAACAGTCTATTCAATGACTCCTGAGGGGAAGATGGAATCTCATATACAGAGAACAGCAAAGTAGGAAGATTCATCTCAAATAAAATCAACACCTTTTTTATAATACACAATTTCAGAACTATATATATATATATATATATATATATATATATATATATATATATATAACATGTTTTGAGGCCCACCTGTCTACATAGGTGGGGTAGCAAGGTGGGGCAGTGGATGGAGCATCAGGCCTGGTGCTCAAATTTAGCTTCAGACACTTACTAGCTGTGTGACCCTGGACAAGTCACTTAACCTGTTTGCCTCAGTTCCCTCATCTCTAAAATGAACTGGAGAAGGAAATGGCAAACCACTCCAGTATCTTTGCCAAGAAAACCACAGAATGGGGTCACACAAAGTCAGATGTGACTGAACAATAACTGAATTCACATAGGTACACTGCATATTCCATCCTACTAGTCTTTGATATTGTAAATAATTGTAAAACTGTTTTCAAATTATTTTCAAATACCTTATTTGTCTGTGTTACTAAAGTATATTGTTAATGTTCATTTGCTACAAGTGTAATAAATATAAGACAAATAATTTGTAACAAATACAGAGGCACTCTTAAGGGACCTGATAATTAGGTTTCTGTTTTCCTCCTGCTCAGTCCTCTCTTTCTCTCTATCTCACCCCTCCTTGTTCCCCTCCCCACCCCCACCATGTTTTGCAGGAGCAGCTCCAAGTGATTTTTCAGACAAACAGAGATGTGAGCCTTAGAATTCAGACCTGCACTGGAGCAAGGCTGTTCTCCCCCCAAGACAAACGATGGCCACTGTTCTTGCCCCATCATATCAGGAGGAGTTCCTATTAGTGAAACTGGAGGAAAATTCCTGCCTAGGTCAAGACTCTAATCTCTGGGGATATGACCCTGACTCTGAAGCCTCCCGCCAGCACTTCAGGCAGTTCCAGTATGAACAGTCTGCTCAGCCTCATGAAGTGCTCTTCCGACTCCAAGAGCTCTGCCGTCTGTGGCTGAAGCCAGAGAAACGGACAAAAGAGCAGATCCTGGAGCTGCTGGTCCTGGAGCAGTTCCTGAGCATCTTGCCAGAGGAGCTGCAGGCCTGGGTATGGGACCATCATCCCAAGAACACAGAGGAGGCAGTGACCCTGGTGGAGACTTGGCAAAAAGAGCCCAAGAGACCAGATCAGCGGGTGAGACCAGCATGGGCTAATGAAAAGAGCATTGCTCTAGGAAGTGGGAGATGTAGGTGCCAATCCCAGCTCAACCTCAAGACAGCTGGGCAAGTCACTCCATTTCTCTGTGTCTCATTTTCTTCATTTGTAAAATGAGGATGCTAGCTCTGTCCTCAGAGGGTTGTTCTGAATACAAAATGAGTGAGGATGCAGCAACAATTAGAAAAGAAATTCAAGGTAGTATTTTTAGGAAAGACAGCACAATTGAGAGTAGGTGGAGCATCTCGGGATTTTCCTTCTCTCTCTGTTGAAAATTCAGTTCAAGCATCTTTCCTGTCTCATGGGGGTGCCTTTAGTTTGAATCATTGTGTAAGTATATATTCTCTGTGCCCACCACAGTACCTTCCATAGCCATAACCCTCAGTTCTGGTTGACCTCTGCCCCTCAGCCCAATAACTTGGATCTGTTAACTTAGCCTCTGAATTTGAAGAGCCAAAGTTGTCCTGGATGGCGCTTAGGCACAGTTTGCTTTTGAATTAGAGTTATATTGTCCTGGTGACAAAATAGTCACAGACTAAAGTTAAATTGAGAAACACAGGAGCCTAGCTGTTCTCTTGAGAGATTATCTGGTTCCCAAAGTCGGCCATACATGAGCTCCAGCTGTTAATTTAGATATATACATACCTCCAGTTCTCTTATTTGGGGGTCTAGGTGATGCAACACTTTTGCCCAGACTTCCTGCACCATATTGAGAAAAACAAACAAAAGTACTGCTGAACTAATCAGTTAAAAAATATTTATTGAGCACCCACTAGACGTTGTGGGGGATACAGAAGTCTAAGAATGAATACCTGTCCTCAAGGAACTTATCAGGTTGGCAAAAGAAGACAAAACATCAAACATAGATGTCAATTAACTGCTAAAGCATTTTTACTGATTGAACACAGACTAAGAATTTGAAGAAAAGAACAAGAGACTAATATGTAGTTAGGAAAGATTCCATGGAGGAGGTGGCACTTCAGTTGGGCCTTGAAGGGTTGACCAGGATTTGGAGAGGAGGGGGGAAGCTATTTCTTGGTAGAAGATAGTGAAAACATGGGGGACCTTAATTCATGGGAATGCTTCTTAATCATTTCTTCCAGGAAGCCCTGAAGAGAGAATTCCACATTTGCACATGCACAAACATACAGTCACACACGTTTTGTTTAATGTATCATGGTCCATCAAAGATACATCACTTCTCCGTTCATCTGAAGAATATAAGATAATCTTGCATTCTGTCCTGGCAAATGGACTTTGATTTCTCCAAGACTGTCTCTACTCACATTTTAATTGGACTAGCCTCACTCCTAAAGAGTTAGTAAACATTATATTATATTTATTGCTAATAGAAATAATTATTGCACCTAAAGGATTACTCCTGAAGCACTTGAGCATCCATACATCCTTAAACTCTCATTACCTGTGCATCCCTCAGGCCCATTATTTCTGACCTTAAATTGTCTGACATAGAAAACAGAATGCCAAGGACTTACCTCACAGGAAGCTCAATTTCTTTCCCAGCCATATTTTATAAACACTTTAGATATATTGCAAAGTGGTCACTTTCTTGGCAGTGACTGCTAAATGTAGCACCAGACATGGTACTGTTCTCACACTTAGCACTGTATTTTTTTGGTTAGTGATAGCACAAGGGTCCCCTAGCAGTAATTCTAATGCTTTTGAGTCATCCTGTATCCCATAGTCTGCCTGACCCCCTATACTAAGTTCTAGGAATATCACTGAGGTCCCTTCCCACTTGTCCTACTTACTTTTATGCCTAGTACCTAGTAGGTCCTTAATTAGGGTTTGATTGATTGATGTGAAAACTAAATGTGGTAGGAAGAGTGCTAGTTCAAATCCTGGCCCTTCCAAGTAGGCTTCATTTTCTTTTTCTGTAAAATGAATATACTTAAGCACCTGCTGGGTACAGAATGAGTGGCTTGAGTTAGATGACTTCTAGGGTCTCTTTCAGTACTAAATCTATGATCTATGACCTTTTCCATTCTCATCCCTACCTGGTTGCCTATTGGGAAGTTTTACACTACAAATTTTTAATGACTCAATGTATGCTTTATTCTTTTAGAGTTGTCTTGGCCAAAACAAATTTGGGGGTCATGGCATTTTATGCTGTAGAGATCACTGAGATCAGAGCCTTTGCCTTTTCCTCTGAAAAAAGGGCTTCAGATCCCTGGGAAGGACAGACTTTGGGTCCTCTGGATATCTGAATGGTACCTAAGAATAATTTCAGTTCTTAATTTATATTAATTGTGAGTCCCATGGCATATACCCAGATCCACAAGAAGTCTCACCTATGTCTCGGAGTTACTGGCTTAGCACATTTAGTCTTATCCCCTTGCTTTAAAGTTTCATATAGTTATGAATCCAGACCAAGGTGTATAGAAGGGCTCAGAGCAATTCTAGATTATCTTTATTTGAAAGTGACATTCTAGGAGGCATGTTTGGTCTTGGGACCGTGAGACAGTGGCACTGGTAGCAGTGGGAACAGCCACCTCTAGAAGGTTCCCCTGTGGCTCACTGGGTTGTTGGCTTTTCTCGTTCTAGGCCATCCCCATGATCAGCAAGTTTGGATCTGACTCGTTCTATCTCTTCTAGTCCCACCATTCCAGAAACGAAAGTATCCAGAGAGACTCCATAGTCATCCTGTCCTCTGTAGAGTGTTCCCAACAAAGGTTAATCCTGGGCCACTCCAGGATGGACTCTCAGGGCCATCTCAGGTCTGACCGCTCCAGTTTGGCCTTACGAGGTGAAGAGACAGGACCCAATTCATCCCATGACATTTAGCAGTGTGTTGGGAACCAGGTATAGGCAGGGCCTATACATGATGAACCTGCTTGGGAGTGGCCTACATCATAGTAGTTTAGGGTTTCATGCCACTCCCAAGCTGCAACTCTCCCATTGCCAACATGATAAAATCAGTGTGCTGCTTCAAGATCCCTCACAGTCAGGACGATCTAGTTTCCCAGTCCTGTACTCTGGCTAAAATGGTCGATAGACTGTCCCCTAAATGTGGCTCATGCTTTAAAAGTCTCTGGGCCTTTGTTCATACTGGCCTCCCCGCCCGAGGATACCCATGACCTTCTGTGTGACTGTCAAAATACCCATCCTTCAAGGCCCAATTCAGATCTTCCCCCTTGAAGTCTTCCTTGATTACCTTGGACGGATATTATCTTCCCCTTCTCTGAGCCCCTGTAATGTACAGTGTTGGCGCCACTTGTCTGGCACTTAGTAGAGTGTCCCTGATAGTGTGTTATTTTATATGCATATATAAATACACACACACGTGCAGTCTCTCTAAGTCGATTGAGCTCTTTGAGGGCAATGAGTATATCTTTTTTCTCCCTCCATGACACCTAACACAGTACCTTGCTCATGCAGTAAGTGCTCAATAAGGATTTTTGGTTACCTGATTAATGGACAGGAATGCAAATGATTGAAAACTTGATTTTAGGGCAGCTGCCTACCCTAGACCTGGCTTCTCTTTCTTTAAAAGCTCTAGATGACAAATTGCTGTCCTCAGAATATAATAGATTTGATTAAAAAGGCAGTGTGGTGTAGTGGATGGATCTCTGGATTGGGAGTCAGAAGACTTAGGTTTCAGTTCCAGTGCTCCTATTTAGTAGTGATGTAACTCTGGGCAAATGATTTAGCATCCCCAAATCTTACTGTCCTCATCTATAGAATGGGAACAATAGTTGTTGCTCTACCTATCTCCCAGGGCTATTGTGGGTATCAAAGGAGGTAACCACAGATAAAGTGGTGGATGTCCACTGTAAAGCACTGGGCAGTGGTCACAGCCAGCATCATTGCCACTTTAATTACTCTTCCTCTGTCCTGGGTTCCTCTATCTCCCTATGGGCATTTTCACTTTGATTTCACCAAGAATCCCCACAAGAACTTCAGTGATGGGAAGCATGCTATTGCCAGGTCGCCTTTTGTATACAGGGACAGGAAGTGCTTTCTGAATTGCCAGCACCCTTGGGTACAGCACAGGAATCACGAAGCTTCCAGTTAGGTTCAGCAGAGATCAAACCAGAGAGAGCGTCCCAGGAGAAGGGAATACAGAGCCCCTACTGGGAAACACTGGAGCAGCTGAGCCCTCTGGAGGAGCCCAAACCCCTGCACAAGAGTGGTGAGAAGCAGAGAATGTATTCTAAGATGGCTTGGGGAGTAGCCTATGCTAGGAAGAGGGATCCATGGTTTGGAGAAGAAGGCGGGGGAGGGACTGGGGGAGGAGGTGCTGAGTGGAAGAACACACAGGTCTAGCCTCCCTGGCACTGGCCAAGTGGCATCACACAAGAGGATGCTGTCTTTGTTGCTATGAGTGATTACTCTCATGTGCGGTCGGCATTTTTGTCCTGGCACTCTGAAGGTGGCTCTCCCTCTCTCAGTCCCCACCGAGGCCAGAGAATCAGAACAACAGACCTTGGGGAGCAAGGAGCTTCAGAACAGGGTGACCATCTAATGCATAGAGCATGTCAGTTTTGGTCAAGTGCATAAAGTCATTGAACTTGAAGAATGATAGGACCAAATAGTCATCAGTACTAGCTACATGCATAGTCTTAAGTGGATACAGAGCAGCAGATGCTCAGAATAGATGTGTCTCCAAAAAAAAAAAATATGAATATGGCCATCTGGAAAATAACTGGGACTTACGTATCTCCATTTTCTTCTTAGACAGTCTGGCTCCTCAGGTTTCTGCCCTTCCTAAGATGAAAAGCATTGGTGACTACAAGATGGTAGCTGAGTCCCGGGTAAGCTGTGGTTTGCTTCTCTTTTCTGAAATGTTTGTGCCTTGGAGACTAGGCCCACCCTGTTAACCCTTGTTCTCTCATTCCTTAGACTTCTCTAAGTGTAACACTGCCTCCCTAGACAAAAAGCCCACACTTGATGGTCTTCAACCCCACCAGTTATTTTTCCTGAATTCCTCCCTTTGGACCTCAGCTGTCCCTGTTGTATTAATCGGGCAATATGAAATGCCTGTGAGCTCTGAATCCTGACTGGGAGGCCTGTGGGTCAGTGACATTTGAGGATGTGCCCTTATACCTCTCACAGGAAGCCCCAGGCCATGGAAACCCTGCTCAGGACCTCTGCAAGGACATCGAGGGAGAGGATTGTGGGAATGAGCTCTTGCTGGGTAAGAACTTATTTCCCTCATAAATGAGAAGTTTTCAGGGGTTTACAACTCATAATTCCCTGAGACTTCGGAGGGTGTCCACCTCACTGAGCCCAGTGCCTTGTGAGGGTTAAAGTGAATGGCCTCCGGTCTTCAAGGATGTCCATAATAGAAGCACAAGACTAGGAGGGCTCTCCAAAGACCCTGTAGCTCAGGACTTCTTCAGTTTTTTCCACTTGTGACCCCTTTTCAAGTTTCAGCAGCATTTGTTGGCATGGCATGGTTTGAGGGCATGTTCGGTGCAGAGTGCACATGCTGTGTGTTCAGAACCAAGGCTGCAGGGAGGCTGTGCAATGCAGCATGGGCTAGCACTGTCAGAAATATCTCGGATTCATTACACATTTGATTTTGAATTGGTTTTTGGTCCTTGCACTTTCAGAAACCTTTTACTGTTGCTAAATTTTTCACGACCCCATATGGGGTCACGACCCACAGTTTAAGAAGCACTGTGTCTCGCTTATTCTTTGCCCTTAAAATCACCCTATGTCTCCACTTGTTGAAACTCTACTTAGAGGCACATTCCACAGACTTCAGAATTTTTATGTCTTTCAAGTTCTTCCTTTTCTCTTTAGCCCCTACTTCCTTGTTCTATTGTGGGATTCTCAGATGTTGAGCAGAGGGAGAAAAGAACTTTGCTGCCCTTGTGTGTTGTACTCCCAATAGTAGAACCATCAACTTTCAGTCTTCATCATGTTGGTTATCTACTTTATAGAAGAGCTGTATGACCCAGAGCACCTCCATTGCCCTTCAATTGGTCCACAACCACTTGGCTCACCAGGCAGCTCTCTTCAAGTTTACTTTCTATGCCTCTGTTCTCCTGACACTTTTTTTGATGGTCAGCTAAGATTATGTTTTCCTTCCCAAACATCTCTTTCTTGCTCACAGATACAAGATGAAGAATGAGAAAAGGGACAGAGGAAAATAGTTTTGAACTCAGCATACTCTTAGCCTCTACCAGAGAAATTGTGATGTAGGCTTATTTTGTTGGTGGCCTGTTCTTTCTCTACTAAAGTCCTGCCTCATAGTGGTGTAGACATGACTCTGGACTTTTGAAAACTATACCAGTAGAGTACAAGCTCTGGTCTGCTTCAGGAATGGGCCAGATGGCATACTAGGTATCTGTTATCTGAGGCTCACATGGCTAAGTTCAGGTAGACTCATTACTAGAAGGTTGGCCACTAGTCCATGTATTCTTTGGTCCACAGCAACTCACAAAAGCCATCTGGTTGGGTGTAAAGAGGTTGAAATCTGCTGAAGTAAAAAGTACCTGCTCTTAGATGGGTCTAGATTGACTCTTTCTAGCATAGGAGCTTGACAATCCAGTCCAGCTTAAATGGTGAAATGATGTGATTTTGCCTCACCTGGAACCAATCAATGGACAGCAAAATAGCAGAGGGGGAGGGGCTTGGAAACTTGGATTCAGATCCCAGCTGCTACTTCTTAGTGATGTAACCTGGAGCAAATCACTTCTTTCCAAGACTTAGTTTTTTATTTGTAAAACGAAAACTTTGACCAGATGATCTTTAAGTTCTCTTCCAGTTTTGACCTTCTGTAATTCCTTGAATTGCTTGTAAACCCCTGAGTTCAAGCAATTTATTATTCATATTATATATATAATCATATTATATATGACTATTCCATAAAGCTTTGTATAGTTGGCTTTTTTTCTTTGTACTTTGTATCTTAAGAGTTTGTGCATTCCCTTGCTCATGAAAGGACTTCCCTGATGGACAGAAGAGTTGAATTTCTTAAAGGTGTCTTCTGACTTCTCCTTATAACTTAAATATATTCTTTAGCCCTAACAAATCACTCCCTACCCAGCTTATTTTTTAAGCTAATTTTTAGTCTTGGCTCTGCCATTGAAGTTACTGAACCTTTCTGGTTCTCAGTTTCCCCATCTATAAAATGAGGTGGTTAAATTAAATCATTCCCACAATCTCTTCTGGCCCTAATATCCCCTGATTCTCTCTTATCCCCAGGGTGAGGCTCTGACCTCTGAGCTCATACAACTCTATGAAACTCTCACAGTGACCAAATCACTAAGTCTCCTTATTCTCCCCTCTCAGTGACTTGAAGGAGAATGTTTAGGGTCATACAGTGGTCTCTTGGTCATTCCCTAGGAATGTCCCCGATATATCCCATTGAATTCCAAGAACAGCTTTATAATGATCGTATACTGTTACACCTTGTTTGCTTTCTTAACGGCAGAGTTTCCAGTTCCCAAGTCCAACATCACTTTGCCATTACAGCAAGGAAGAGACCCACGGGACCCAAATCTCCAGTGCTCTGAGGAAACAGAGAATCCAAGAGACACCCACACAGATGAAGAACAAGTAAGGTCTGGCCCAGCATTTGCCAGGAAAGACGTGAAAAGCTGGGAGGAGCAGAAACAGTGTGATGCAGCAGACACAAAAGTCTCTGGAGTCCTCTGGAGCTATGAGGAAACCATGACATTTCTTGCAATCCTTGGTGAACCTCAGTTCTCAGAAAAACTCCAATCCCGTCGTCAAAACCGCCAAGTATACAGAGCGGTAGCTGAACGGCTGCGGGAGCAGGGTTTCCTGCGGACATTGGAGCAATGCCGCTACAGATTCAAAAACCTCCAGACGAGTTACCGGAAGGCAAAGACTGGAAGAGCCCCAGAGTCATGTGCCTTCTATGGGGAGATGGCCACCCTACTGAGCACCCACACCTCTGCTTCCTGTCCTGACACCTTGGGAGAAACCTGGGATCCTTCTCTACAAAGGGACAGCAGTGTTGACACTGAGGAACCAGAGAACCAGGAGCACGAGGAGGGGACAGAGGCTTGTGATGCCAGTGAGACGATTGACAAGGAACTGACCCATAAGGGCAAGATGCCAGGCACCCAAGGCCCATTCTCTGGCTGCTGGGGTAAGGACCTAATGAAAATGTCTTCAGTTAGGCATCGGTAGAATGAGGATTTTGTTTCGTCTTTTTGCCTGTGGTGTCGTGACACTTTTCTTTGTGTTTTAGTGGCCCCCAATTTGGTAACAGTTCTTGTCATTCCCCTCCCCCACAATGTATTGTTTACTTAACAATCAGGCCAGATTACAGAGTATCAGTAGCGAAATTCTTCATTACGGTGCCACTGATTTGAGATTATTAAGAGCAGCAGATTCAGAAAGAAGGGAAGAACACAGTTATACCCTTGGGATAAACACTGACAATATAACAAAAAGTTTCTTCTCTAAAGTCAACTTCTATTTACACAAAATTAAATTACCAGATGTACACAAAGGACTAGAATCTATTACCTGATGGCTCTGTCCAGTAATACTCAATATTCATAATGATGGCCTTGAGGTACTGCAAGGTTCTCAGTGTTCAAAGACATTCAGTCATGGTGAGCATTGTGTGGGGCAGTGAGGTAGAGAGCAGAGCGCGGGGCTTGCAGTCAGGAGAAGCCTTGTTTCATATCCAGCCTCTGATTCGCGCTCATTGTGTAACCATAGATCAATCATTTACCTTCCCTGGCTCTAGTTTCTAGTAAAAATGGAGATAATATTCCATGTAGTACCCACCTCACAGGGTTGTTAAACTATCAGATGAGTGAACGTATGTATAAATGTGCTTGTGTGCTTTGCAAACTCCGAAGTGTTCTATAAAGTCAGTTATATTTTTGGTGTTATTAGACATATTTTATTAAATCCTAATTCTTTAAATGTATTGACCCACATGTGGCATGTGGTATGTGTGGTAACTCAATTAACAACAGCATTCAGTACCCTAGAAGACCTCCATTCCCAAAGCATTCTGGATAAACAAGTGTTTCCTGATGATTCAGTTTATCGCACTGGCCTGAACCAGATTATATATGGCTGCCATTTCAACACAGATTGCTTCAGTCATCCACCATGGGAATACTGTGAAAATGGCCTCTTTCCTGAATCTACTCAGATAATCAGCCTTTTGTTCACCTAATTATCTTGGCCGTGGTAAACATTTTATCAACACATGTTCACTGGTTTGTCTAAAAGTTGTCATGGTGACATAAATTCTTAAGATTAAGAAGGGATCTAAGGGCCAGATCCTGTCCGAAGCATGAATCTTCCCTGCAACATCACCAAGGTTATCCATCCTCTTCTTGAATACCTTTCATGATAGAACCTTACTACTTCCCCAAACAACTCATTCCATTCTTGAGCCATTTTAACAGTCAATAATTTCTTCCTTCTATTAATCCAAATTATGCCTCCCTGTAACTTTTTGTGGTCACTCAGGAGGCGGGCAGAGCAAGTCTGCCTCTCTTCCCCCATCCCCTCACCTCATCTTCAGGTCTTCTCCAAGTGAAACATCCCTAATTCCTTTAACCTAGTCACAGTACAACATGTAATATGTCACAGATGTGGTGTTATTAGTATAGAATCATAGAATACCAGACTTGGAAGGGACCTAAAAGGTCATCCAGTCCTACCTTTACTTAAACACAAATTCCTTCTACAAAAGAATACAGTAGGGGCAGCTAGGCGGCGCAGTGCATAGAGCTCTGGCCTTGGAGTCAGGACGACCCGAGTTCAAATCTGGCCTCAGACACTTGACACTTAACTAACTGTGTGACCCTGGGCAAGTCACTTAATCCTGATTGCCTCACCAAAAAAAGCAAAAAAAAAAAAAAAGAGAATGCGACTTTCTCCTTCCTCATCCTAGATGCCTTATTTCTTTTTTTGCTGCTAAGTTTCATGATCTTCTTGATTTGGGTCCTGTCTTTGATGGTATGTAATGCCACACATCCATCCATGCTCATCCTTTGTGATTGTTGTCCTTGTTGTCTCATAAATATTCCATCAGAGATGTACCCAATACACTGGACTCCTCCATGGAGGTGGTGCAGTTCTCTCTCAGGCTGTCCCATCACCATCTCCAAGTACATGACTGGCCCACATCTTTCTGATCTTCTGTTTCCTGGTTGATAGCTTTCATGTCAGTTCTTACATGCAAGTCCATGTTTATTAATATGCTTATCCTATAATAGCTTGGATCACAATAGGCTGGTTCCTGATATCACTTGATTTTTTCAATTATTTTCGCTACCACTTAGACTGGAAACATACTGCATGCCATCGAGTAGCATTAGGCCGGCAAACTTCCATCAGACCTCTGGGTCTTTTTTAACATGAACTGTCCAGCCCTGTCTTCATCCTCAACTTATTCATTTGACCTTTTTTTTTTTCTGAAGACTTGAAATATGACAGGAATGAATAGAATCTTATTAGACTGGGCCATTTTCCCAGGCTATTTTTCAGATCTTTTGGGAGTCTGATTCCGTCACGTATTAGCTATGCCTTCCAGCTTCCTGTCATCTATAACCATTTATACCTTTATCTAAATCATTGATAAAAAGCATTGGCCAAAGCTAGACCAAGGTCAAAAGCCTTAGGCAAGGCTCTAGAGACCCCATTCCAGCTTCCGCCAACTCACTAATCAACGTTCTTTTGTTCTAGTTGTTCAGTAAGTTCCAAGTCCACCTGACTTTCCATCTTGTCCATTAGTCTATGGTGGGAGGCTTTGTGAAGAGTATCTTGTTCACTCATCCCCAGGACTTCACACTGCAGGAGATGGAACTAAAAGACCCTAGAGTCAAGCTGGGTTTTATGTATAAAGTTTGGTGTGTATTTCTTCTTCTTGGGCCAAACCCTTCTCTCAAGCTTTAGAGGTCACAGTGCAGAACATGAGGCAGTTCCTACTGCCCCCTTCCAGCTACTGCCCCTCTATGCAAGCATAGCTTCATTACGTGTGGTCATGAAGGAGACAGGAGAAAGAAGCGTTTGTTGAGAGGACGTGGTTGAGTGGACAGGACGGCAGACGGAGGAGTGTTAAGAAGCCGGAATACTAATCACTGTGACTAACTCACTGGGTCACCTTAGACAAATCACTGTATTTCCCTGGCCTGGGTTGTTGCATAGGTGAAGTGAGGAGCTTAGACCAGATTATCTCTAGCAGGGGTGGGTAACCTGCGGTCTTGAGGCCACATATGGCCCTCTAGGTCCTCAAAACTTTGGATTCAGTCAAAGGGCTGCACTTGAGGACCTAGAGGGCCACATGTGGCTTCAAGGCCACAGATTCCCCACCCCTGCTGGCATTCTCCAGTTCAAATATTCTCAGATTCTTAGAACTATCACAAAAGACATAGGTGCTGACTTAATCAATCAATCAATAAACATTTTAAAAGCACCTACCATGTGCCAGGTCCTATGCTAATCACTAATACTAATACAAAAAGAGGCAATAGATAGTCCATGCCCTAATGAATACAAGAACCAGTTTCCAGGCAGTCTTCTTTGCCTGCCACCTTCCACATGGTTCCTCTGACAGTACAGATATCCCCCAAATCAATCCTGCATGTTTACCTCAATTAGCCATATCCCTTACCCAGAGTCAGCTCCGATTGCAGTGTGTGTGTTTGTAAAAGGGCTCCTAGTTTAGTTTCATTAACCGGGGTAGCCAAGAATGAGTTTATTCTGGATAATAAGCAAACAAAATAAAAGTTCTTACAAGAAGAAGATAGGCAGGAATAAGGTAATGCAAAGAACGCTGGCTTAGGAATCAGGAAACCTGGGCAGCTAGGTGGGGCAGTTGATAGAGCACAGGCCTTGAAGTCAGGAGTACCTGAGTTCAAATCTGGCCTCAGACCAAACACTTGACACTTACTAGCTGTGTGACCCTGGGCAAGTCACTTAACCCCAATAGCCTCACCAAAAAAAAAAAAAAGGACGGGTAGAATTTTGGTAGGGATACAAGCTCTTGGAGGGGAGACCCCTAAACCCCTACCACACCAACTCATAGCCCAGGCCTCCCAAGGCCTTTTTACACTCAATACAAACAGAATTTGTAGGGCTCTTCTCCAGGGAAGCCACAGTCTTTGCACAGCCCAGAGTGCAAATTGTTCTAAGTTTCTGTCTACCCTTGAACGTTATCTTTTCATTTTCTCTAAATTGTTAAATCAGCTAGGAGATAGCGTCTGGGACAGGCAACCTTGCACACAGTAGACACTTAATAGATGTTTAATTGAATTGTTTACAACACCAGTTATTGTAGCTGCTTTTTATTCCTCCCCTGTTGGCCTCTCCAGATCCTAAATCCAAAGTGGCCCATCGAGAGAACTCGAGGAAAGGCTCATGGAACTCAGATCGCCATAGACTGGAGGAAAGGGAGAGCAGCAGAGATTCCCACCCCAAAGAGGAAGAAGGAAAACCTTGTCAGGCTCCAGCAAAGAAGGAAGTAAAAGACCAGGGGGACCAAGAGCTGGGCAGTGCAGAGGACGAGAAATATGCAGGGGTACACTGGAGCTATGAGGAAACCAAGGTCTTTCTGGCAATTCTCAGTGAGACTTCATTTTCTGAAAAACTCCGGACCTGTCACAGAAACAGCCAAGTCTACCGCGCCATCGCCAAGCGGCTGCAGGAGCATGGCTTCCTCCGGACACTGGAGCAGTGTCGGTACAGATTCAAAAACCTCCAGACCAGCTACCGGAAAGCAAGAACCAGCCACCCCCCAGGGACCTGTCCCTTCTATGAAGAGATAGCAGCCCTCATGCATTCCCAGGCTGCCATTAAACCAACTTACTCTATGAAGGGGATCATCTGTCCACTCGGGGGGACAGCTGGAGACTCTGACTCCCAGGGACAGGAGCCAGAGGACTGGCGACGAGGGAACCCTGGAAAGGGGGCCACAGCCAAAGACCGTGACAGAAAGGTGTTCACCCGGGAGCCCAAAGGCCTCAGAGCTGCAGCGCTTTTCCAGAGTCGAACAGGTAAGGATCTCTTTAGGCCTGGACACCTTCTCTAAAAAGGAATGCAGAATGATGTAGGGCATAGAGTATTGGCATGGGGTTCTAATCCTATTGGAAACTGTGAATTGCTCTTTCATACCCCCAGGGGAAGTTAAGTTAAGGAGATGCCGTGTTAGAAGTACATAAGAAAGGTCCTAGAGAAAGCAGTGACTAGATAGGTAACAGACTGGATGACAGGATTTGGAAAGGTCTTAATAAGTTAGAACACTAGGCCAAATCTAATAACATGAAGTCTAATAGGGGCAAATGTAATTTTATATGTAGGTTCTAAAAATCAGCTTCTTAAGTATGCATAAAATGGGGCATGAGTGACTAGACAACCATTTATCTGACAGAGATCTGGGGGTTCCCATTGGACTACAAGTTAAATATGAGTAAAGAGTGCGATATGGTAGCCAGGAGAACTAATGCATTCTTAGCCTAAATTAAGGAAAGCATGGTGTCCAGTACTAGGATGGCATTAGTTCCACTGTGAAGACAACATTTTGAGTACTGTGTTCATTTCTGGGCACCACCTTTCAGGAAGGACATTGATGAGATGGAATGTGTTCAGAGGAAGGCAGCCAGGCCAGTGAAAGGCCTAGAACTGATTGAAGAAACTGGCACATTTAGCCCAGAGAAGACAAGACAGGATGGATATGGCATCTCTCTTTAAGTCGTTAAAGGACTGTTACATGTAAAAGGGATTATAGTTCCCCTGCTTGGTCCCAGAGGACAGAACCAGTAGCAACGGATAAAGTTTCTAAGAGTCAGATTTAGGCTTGACACAAGGAAAAACTTCTGGCAGTGAGCTAAGTGGAATGGGCTGGTCCTTGGGCCACAGATTTCCCCTCCGTGGAGGTCTTCAGGCAAAGATTAGATAATCACTTGTCTGATACATGGTAGAGGAGACTCTTGTTGAAGTAGAGGTAGGGCTAGATGATCTCTTCTTACTCTGAGAGTCTGCACTCCTGCTGTAGGAGCATGGTGGAAATCAGGGCCCTTGGCTCGGTAGGCAGGCCTGACCAGTGAGCTCCTCTCCCCCCGGATAATCATGATTATTCATTATCATCATCATTATTGTTATCGCTCCCCTGATTTTCTCATACTGTGTGGCAACTGAAGTAGTAGCATAGCAGGTGCCCCTTTCAACATGGTACCAGTCCTTAGGGTGGCTCAGTGTTAGGGTAAGGCTTTTACCAGGGCTGGGATTTTCAGAGCAAACTGTGAGAATCCCTTAGCTCTACCCCAGACTCAAAGGTAGAAAGAGAGTATCACGAGGAAAATAAAGGGCATTTGCTTTTGACCTGTGCTAGGACACTTGCAGGAGCTGGAGCTACTCCAAGAGAGTACTGGGGGCTCACTTTGCTGGAACAGTTTAACCATCTGCAGTCTGCACCCCACCCCCACCTGGAGAGCCGGCAGAGCCTCCTCACCTTGGCTTCAAGTGTGGAGTTCTGTCTGGACCACTTTTCTTTAACATACAATTGTTGGTACAGATAACCCCACCCAATTTTTAACCCAAGCCCTGTGCCTCCATTTACCCCAGAGAAATGTGGAACTATGGAATGTCTCCCTCCAAAAGGCAGTTTAATCCTACTGATAGGATAGCTGGTCTCACAGAGGAAGGCCAATTATCACTGATGACCTGTAGAACTGGACCCCCACTGGGCAGTGTGACAGATGGTTACCTCAGAGAGATCATTGTGAGTTGTAAAAAGGAAAAACAAAGCATGGAAAAAATGGAACGTGTGTCAAAGGGCCCAGAGAATCCGGAGCATGGCAGATGGGGCCTGATAGCCACGTGCTCCCTTTCTCTTCTCAGTTCCTCCAGCTCCTTCCCAATATAAATAGCTGGCCAGCTTTCTGGGGAGGGAAGTTTCCCATTGGCAGAGAAGCCTCTCATGGACACAGAGCTTGGGTCAGCCACTCAGCGTGCATTTGTTGTGGGCCAGCCAACGTCCTCTGGACTCTTCATCTTTCAATCCATAGAACACCAGTCACGTGCCAGAAGCCCTGCTTACCTGGTAGCACTTGGGTCCTTTGTCAGTGCTGTTACCAAAGGCATTTAGTCAATGATTTGTTCCTCAAGTATGAACTGAATACGTGCTGTGCGAGGTTCCCTGTGGTCTGGGCTCCTGGGGATGCTGAGATAAGTAAGACAAGGTCCTTGCTTGCCTTCAGGGAGCTTCCCACCTAAGAGGGGGGGTCAGGCACACACACAGATAACCAAAACACAGGGAGAATGTTAAAGGGCTCGAAGGAGGGAGCAGAGCACTGTGGAAAACTTTGTTCACCCTTAGGGACAGCTTGAAATTTTTCTTCCTTTGTCAGGTGTGCACTGGGGCTATGAGGAAACCAAGGCTTTTCTGGCAATCCTCAGTGAATCTCAGTTCTACGAAAAGCTCCGGACTCGCCACCCCAACCGGCAGGTGTACCGGGCCATTGCTGAGCGGCTGCGCGAGAGGGGCTTCCTGCGGACGCTGCAGCAGTGCCGCACGAAGTTCAACAGCCTCCAGACGAGCTACAGGAAGGCAGGGAACAGCCGCGCCCCGGACACCTGCGCTTTCTATGACGAGATGGATGCCCTGGTGAATGCCCGAGCAGCCGTAGCAGCCACTGGAATCCTGAAAGAGGTAGCACCCCACCCTGGGCAGGCAGGCAGCGACGCTGACCCCAAAGAGCAGGAGCGGGACAATTGGCACAGTGAGGAGGCACTGGAAGATTGTGACAGTGATGAAGCAGCCATCAGAGAAGCCAAGAGTCCTGGGGTCCCTGCTCTCGTCCAAGTCTCAGCTGGTAAGATGAGTCTCATTTTTCACTGGAATGTAGCCCTCCCCCTGTCATTGCCACCCCCCCACCTTAATTCGCAGGCTTTATCCAAGCCAGGGGATCTTTCTGGTTTAGTAGCAAGTACATTAGACAAGAAGGCCAGAGATCTGGGTTCATTTCCATCCATAGGCTGAAACTGATTAACTACATTAATCAGTGCATGTGTGTTTTTTGGTTTGTTATTTGCTTAGCGCTGAGCAAGGCACTGCGAATAATATCCTATGAAAGGGTGTATAACATGGTCACTTCTCTCAAGGAACTAACAGCCTAATAGAAAACATAATTGGGAGAATAAGAATTAGCCCACCAAGGTCCCAGCTCTGCCACTATCTAGTTACATGACCACCTGGGGCCTCAGCTTCCATACCTATACATTCTGGGTAAAAAAAATTCCTTTATTCCACGACTATAGCTAAAGTGCTAACTTGTGTGCTATCTAATAAAAATGCTACAAGAATTTGGAAGACAGAAAGTGAATGAGGCCTCAAATTGTCAGTGGTGAGACCTGATGAACAAAACAGTCAGCCTGCTGGCTAGAATGCTGACCTGTCCCCATAGGCAAGTAACTTAACCGCCCTGAGCCTCGGCAGGAAAAGGAGGATAATATCACGTGCAGTCTCTACCTCCTAGGATTACTGTAGGGCTCGGATAAGTGTGGGTAGAGCACCTGAGCAGCTGGAAAGGATTGTATCTATCATGATTGCAGACCGATAACAACCATGGTACCCTTGGAGCCAGACCTCAAAGTATGGAATGGTAAAGGGGGATGCGGCTAGGCAGAGCACTTCAGGCCAGGAGAACATGAGCAGAGGTCTAGATGTGACAAGGAGCAGTGTGTAGCAGGAGGAGGACAGTGAGGATAGCCTGAAACGACCAGATTTTGAGCACGTCTCTTTCCATGCACTTTTGTCCACATGTGCAAAATGCCTGTTTTACCATCAGATCCTTACTTGCAGGGGAAGATGGGTAAGTTTTATGAATCTAGCTGAAAGGTAGAATTGAATATTACCGAGCCCTCAATTGTCTTCTCCAACTAATTGGGTTGGTTGAAATCATCCAGTTTTGTTGTTCTTGTGGTTTTTCCCAGAGTTGAGGATCCAGAGTGAGAATAAGGAAGAGACTCAAAAACAGGGCATTTCTGAGAAAAGGCAACCCTGGGAAGCAGAAGGAGATGTAACTCAGCTTCTTCACTGGGGGAAAAACTGTGAAAATGAGTACAAACCAGAGCAACCATGGGAGAGAGACCTCAGAGAAAGACAAGGAAAACTGACTGCCAAAGAGGATTTACAAAATCCCACCACTCAGAAAGGATCCTCTGCAGAAGGAAAGCCATACAAATGCCTCGAATGTGAGAAAAGTTTCAGTTGGCGGTCACACCTGGCCATGCACCAGAGAATACATACAGGAGAAAAACCCTATAAGTGTCTCGAATGTGGAAAAAATTTCAGTTGGCGGTCACACCTCAATACCCACCTGCGAATCCACACAGGAGAGAAGCCCTATAAGTGTCTAGAATGTGGAAAAAGCTTCAGTGATGGGGCAGGCCTCACTGCACACCGGAGAATCCACACAGGAGAGAAGCCCTATCGGTGTGAAGTGTGTGGCAAGAGCTTCAGGCTCAGCCCCAGCCTGGTTGTGCACCAGAGAATACACACAGGGGAGAAGCCCTACAAGTGTAGTGAATGTGGAAAAGGCTTCAACAACAGCTCACATTTCAGTGCCCATTGGCGTACCCACACGGGAGAGAAGCCTCACGAGTGCCCTGAGTGTGGGAAGAGCTTCAGTAAGGGCTCTGCCCTCCACAAACACCAGCGAGTTCACGTGAGGGAAAAGCTTCCTCTGCTGCCCAGGCTCGACTCTACAGCAGAAAGCCTGCCTGGGAATAGTTCTGTAAACAGACTGGGTTTGGGGAGACCTTCCAACAGAGATGACTGCTTTTGATCTACCTTGGTTTTATTCAGGAACAGTGCTAAGCTCTGATGGAGTGGGAAGAGCACTGTGTTGGAATTCAGACCTGGGTTCTAATCCCAGCTCCACCATAACTAATCAAGTGACCTTAAGCCAATCATTTCCTCTCTCGGAGCCTATAAATCTGTAAATGTGAGAGATGGACAATATGCTGTCCAAGGTTCTTTTACTCCCAATACTCAGTGATTCTAACTCAGTGTTTCTTTCTACTTTGGGAGAGGGTTTTTTGTGTCTGAAGCTAGACTCACCAGATGGGGTCTAAAATTGGGAATATCTAAGTCCCCTTCCCAGTGGTGCCTTTACCTCAATGCATGCAGTTCACCCTTCCCATGTGCCTCAATTTTATTGCTGATAAAATGGGGGAAAGTAATCCTAATCACTCAAATATGGTTTGTTCTTTTGTACTTTCACCCAGAAAGGGAGCCTTATGCCCTGAACACCTCCAAGTCTGGAAGTCTCCTTTCCTCTTACCTTGGGTTTTATCAGTGCCTCGATCCCAGAAAAAATATTTCACTACCACTGGGATGGAACCATTAAACTTTGGGATTCAGAGTATCAAGGAGGAGTCAGGAAAGAACAAGAGGGATGATTTAGGAATTCTGAGTATTTTTCACTCAGTATGAAAGAGTACTTATAAAATGTGGAAGAACTGGTTAAGAATATATGCAGGTTCTCTCTCTGTCTCTCTCTGTCTCTGTCTCTCTCTCTCTCCTCTAATGTTGCCAGGTCTTTTACTTGGAGTTTTTCTGATGATAGCAGCACTGGGCTTGTAAGGACAAATGTAGGTTAATAAATGGAACTTTAGGGTTTGGTCGACTGAATGTATAAAGAAACATCTTAACCCTGGATATGGGAAATGTAGAAAGTGAAACTCACTTCCACTTCCCCATGTTAACCTCAAAGAATGCCTTAGACTATGGTGAATGTACTGTGTGTTCCTTTTGTTATATTAATAAAATTGAATCTATTGCTCTATGTGGTTCTGGATGATGACAATTAAAGCATGAAGAATTTAGATAGCATTTGGATGGTTATGAGAAAATTGTAAGAATGCTGATAATGCTGGTCCTAAGATCTAAACGCTTTGGTTGGCAAGCCTCCATCTCTTGCTTCTAAGGTCTCTTCTAGCTTCTAAATCTATGATCTGATGATTCCAAGTATGTTTGAGGGAGGGAGGAAGTCAATCTTACATAATACCCACATTTCTACAGTGTTTTTACAGCTGTACCATCTGGAATTTTCCTTTCAAGTCAAGCTCACATCTCTCCAAGGCAACATTGGCAACATTTGTAAATTGCCAACAGTGTCTTAAAATTTCTGACAGGCTTTTACATCACTCATGCGTGAATGATGTAATGTGGAACACTGGAGTCAGAGGACCTAGGTCCAAATCCTACCTCACCCTTACCTATGTAAACTTGGACATGTCACCAAATCCCATAGGCCACGTTTCCTTATCTGCAACATCAGGAGGTGGGACTAAATAACTTCCAAGGTAGAAGTTCTTCACCTTTTCTTCCATAATCAAAGCCCATCTAGCCTCCACAAGATAGAATCCCACTCCTGTTTTAATGATCAGCAAAGGCTGATGACATCAACATTCTATTTGGAAGCTGAAGGCCCATTTAGTCAACAGGGTTTTCCCTATCTACATCCCCCTCCCCTACCACTGTCTAGTAAATCCCAATTTCCTACTCCTTCAATCTGTGTGATTCATTTCAGTCTAACAAATGTATTGGGGATACAAAGACAGAAATGGAAGTGATTCAGACCACAGCTTACCTAGTTTAAAACATCTAACCCACACTTACTCCTATCCAACTTGGTCTACAGACCTATGTTCTTCTGCTGTACCCCCTGCCCCAATCTCCATTGTGACCTGCTACCAATAAAAACTTTCCCCCATTCTTGATCTTTGGTATTGGAGAAATGGATTAATCAGTCTGCCTTCTTGTTCACATGCACTAGATGATAGCAGCAGCAGCATGAGTTGCTCCTCTCTCTATATATATGACCTAGCTACATGTTCTCCAGGTGTGCACTCCTCCACATGTACCCTGAACATACATGCTTCCTATTTATATGCCCCTTGATAAGTATTCCCTGATCACACATGTCAGGTACTCTTCTACACATGTGCCCTGACCACCATAATCCCTACACATATACCTTTCCATGTGTGTTCATTCTTCTCACTGATACTGTTTGTGGGAGGGGTCCTAGATTTACGGGGGGAATGTTTTATTGCTACTTTTCTTACTATGCCATCTCATTAAATGCTTTGCTTTTAACTATGTCTGCTGGCTGCCTGCTAAAGATAAACACATGGATAGGGGTTTGTGAGCTACGGTTTTAGGAGATATGAATCCACAAAGTACCTTGAAACTAGGGTTGTCATTCCCTTAGGGACATACTTGTGAGCTTGGGGCCCCCAGGTGCTACACAAAATGTGCAAGGAACATAAATTATTGGGTGCCTCCTCCTCTGCTCCTTGCAGATAACTAGACAACAGGTCAATCCCACAGGAACCAGTGGGCTTTTAAAGTGTGTGAAGAGGGAAGCCCTAGTGTGAGTCCCATGGCAAGGTAGAGAAGTGCTTCTTGATGAAATCCAGGGGGTGTGTGTGTTTTTGCTTTTCAGTGTGAGTGAGCTAAGCTAGGGGTAATTACTGGCTCCTTTCTCAGACTTTGTCTCCTCTGATCTTCCTAGGGTCTCAACTGTAATTGTTCCTTACATTGTGGCAGTTTCTTCTTCCCCTTTCCCTTTCAGTTTAAAAGACCATTTGATTAGATTTGTAAAGGAACCAGACAAACACATTCTTCATAGCCCTTCTTAAGTCCATCTCTGGCCAGGAGCCTGGCTTTCTTAAATTTTAAGCCATGGCCAAGAAATCCAAATCCCAGTCCCAGAAACCATCTTCTTAACTCTCTATTCACTTCCTGTATCACCATCATTCATCCAGATTATTGTTGTCCTTCCTCTGCAAGGGCACAGAGCTCAGAATGAGCTACATTTCTTCTACTCTGTGTGAGTCAGGTACATAAAGGCAGGAGGGGACAGAGGAATCTGTGACCGCACTCTTAACAGAAGAAGCCACTCAAGTCAATATCTGGAAAAGATGGAGGCTCTGAGGAATGCTGATGGGGAGAGGTACCATTAACAACTATTCTATTAGAGTAATCTCAAACCTTGGACTCATGCACCATTTCCTACAGGTGCCAGGAATAAAATTATTCCAGGATGGTCCCTCAATCAGAAGATGAAGCAGAGGCGCAAGAAGGAAAGGAGTTGGGGAATTGCTGGAAGCTTTCTTGGCTAGCAGTTTCTACGCACCCTTCTTCCCATGCTATGGGTGGTGCCTCCATCAGGTTCCACATCAGCTACCTACAGGAGCACTAAAAAAGCTTGTGACTGAGGGGAGATGATGTGGGTGTATATGTTTTGTTCTTTTCACCAGAACTAGCTGATTTGTTTAAGTGTAAGAAACTCCTGACTCTCAAAAATTAGGTGGGGTTTTTCCTTTTTGTTTCCAAGTTAATATATGTAGCCAGGGGGTAGATTACCACCTTAATCTGTTAAGCAAAAATGAAGTTTTTCATTTTTTTAAATTAGCAAAGCAAATAGCCACTGAAATTCATTTGTTACCAACTCCTAAAGATGTGGGATTACTAACCATATTCAATGTGAAAATAATCATTTTCTTTTATTAATGGAAAATGTTAAAACTTCTTTTTTTGAAAAAGCTATGAGCTTAAGAAACATTTTAAAAACATGTCAATTATTTTCCAAAAACTGGCAATGGAGCTTTAGACTTTTAGAGTTATTTGAGTTCCTAGCACCAGATCTCTTGAGACCCCTAGACTATTCTGTGTGAAGAGCTAACTGGGTGAGGGCACAGTAGTGTCTATAAACATCTCAATTTGCCAGAACTCTCCAGCAACTACTGAAGGCTAAGACAAAGTGAGTCACTGGCATTAGAAATCCACAATGACATCTCAGTGTCCATGTTCCAGGGACAGTACCTATATGAAGGTCCCCAAACATCCCAAGCTTCCTTGAGACCCCAGAAGAATTAGAAATTGTCTCAGAATGGCATTGCTCAGGAACCAAGAAAAAAAAAATGACTGAGGTTCACAATCCTTTTAATGTACACTGGAGATTTCAAACTAGTTGTCTGACGAATGGCCTGCTTCCTCTGCCCTATTGGTTCCATCAGCAGTCATTCTGGAAGGCAACTGAATCACACTAAACTTTGGATGATGGTACTCCAGATTTTCCATCACATAAACAAGTTTCTTCATTTCCAAAGCGGCCCAGACCATAAAGATTCCACCAGGTTTCAATTAGTACTGAAGAAACAGTTCTCTCTCAGCAAGGCTAAAGAATGGGAATGGAGAAATCCATCTGCATACAACATATCAATGCGATCTTCCACCAACCACTCCTCTGTCTTAATAATATTAAGACAATCACAAGGACTAAATTCTACTTTATTAAAATAATTAAAGTAATTAGGCATTATTTTTATTCCTGGGCAGAATTCCAAAACAAGTTGGCATGGAGAATATGAGGTAATATCACCATCAGCATTTCCCCCATACTCTGCAGAAATACCTGAATTCATGGAACACCCCCACCACAGTTTCAAAAACAAACCAAAGACCCCTGAACTTCCCCATAATGACTCAGCGAGGGGTTTGCTAGCATGGCACCAAGCACAGGAACGAGTCCCAGACTCATCTCCCTACTGAGCCCAGTTTCCCACCAGACTAAAAGCTATGTTTTTATCACATTTAACAAGCTTTTCTCCTCTATGGATTCTGTTGTTGTGTTAACAATGTCTGAGCTACATTCAAGACTCCTGTTTTAATCATTTATTTTCCCATTTATAAATAGAAGGAAAAAAATTCTCCATTTGCCTTATAAGGTTGAAATGTTTTCTGTTAAGTGCTTTAAGTTTGCTGAAAGTCAGAAATCTATGATAATGTGGTAATGCTTTTTTATTGCTTCAATTCCATACACGATTCTTGAAACGAGTGAGGAAGTTCCCATGCTAATGGCTTGTCTGTATTAAACCAATAATTAACATCTGGGCTTGCAAAGTTACTGGCTTGGTTCCAACATTTTTCATTAGCCAAGGCAAGGCTGGCCTAAGGTATATGTGTTTAGGGGGCAAAGTGAGAGGAGGGCTGCCAACACAAAAGCAAATTGTTTTTGTGAAATATGTTTTAATATTCGACTTGTTAGAGTTTTAAAATTCACGTCCAAGTTGCCTGTCTTTACACCAGTATTGTTTCCCTGGAATGAACTGCACCTAAAGCTTAAAAAAGTACTTCTCTAAAGGGCAGCTACGTGATGCAGTGGATAGAGTACCAGCCCTGGTGTCAGGAGGACTGGAGTTCTAATCCAACTTCAGACCAGATACTTGACACTTACTGTGTGACCCTGGGCAAGTCACTTAACCCCAACTGCCTCACCAAAAAAAAAAAATACTTCTCTAGCAAGTATATCATATGATGCCTGAAAATTAAAATAAACACTTGGTTTTTCTCTCCTACATAACTTTACGTCCTGTGTGTGTTCTCCGGTGGGCACTGAAGTGTGAACTATTGTTGAAGTCTTTTCCACACTCAGTACATTTATAGGGTTTCTCTCCAGTATGGATTCTCTGATGTATAATAAGGCTTGAGCTCTGGTTGAAACATTTCCCACATTCACCACACCTATATGGTTTCTCTCCTGTGTGAATTCTGTGGTGAGTAATAAGGTTGGAACGGTCACGAAAGTTTTTCCCACACTCCAGACATTTATATGGTTTCTCTCCTGTGTGAACTCTCTGATGAGTGATAAGCTTTGAACGTTCACTGAAGCATTTCCCACAATCGACACATTTATATGGTTTTTCACCTGTATGGACTCTTTGATGGTTAGTAAGGGTTGAGCTCTTACTGAAGCTTTTTCCACATTCTGCACATTCATAAGGTTTCTCCCCGGTATGGATTCTTTGGTGACTAGTAAGAGCTGAGCTCTTACTGAAGCTTCTTCCACATTCAAGACATTCAAAGGGTTTTTCTCCAGAGTCAGCTCTTTGGGGACCAGGACAAGTTAAGCTCATACTGAAATTGTTTTCTCCTTCAAGCTGCTCAGAAATCTTCTCCTCCATGTGATTTTTCAAGTGTGCCCTCAAAGATGGACTGTTAGCAAAGCTTTCCCCATGCTCATTATATCTGTCTGTATTTCCTCCCATGTGGATTCTCTGATGTTTAATAAGATTTGAACTCTGGTTGAAGCTTTTCCAACACTCACTACATTTATAAGGTTTTTCTCCTGTGTGGATTCTCTGATGGGTGACTAGGTTTGAATGATCACTAAAGCTTTTCCCACACTCAAGACATTTGTATGGTTTCTCTCCAGTATGGATTCTCTGATGAGTATTGAGGTTAGAACGGTCACTGAAGCTTTTCCCACATTCAAGGCATTTGTACGGTTTTTCACCTGTGTGGATCCGCTGATGTGCAATAAAATGAGAGCTCCGACTGAAACTTTTCACACATGTATTGCATTTGTAGGGTTTTTCTGCTAGGTACAGTCCCTGATGATCTATTAATTTTTCTAAATCCTCTTCAGAACCACATTTCTCCCACTGTTCCTCTGAGGGACTTTCACACTGTCTTAATGATTCATATTCATCCTCACTGTCTTTCCCCCAAACAGGTTGGTAACCATCTTCTTCAAAATGTTTTGATAATGTCTTGTGCATCTCCTCAGAAACCTCCTGCTTTGAATTCTGTTCTTTGTTCTCACACTTCATGTCCACACCTGAAAAAGACAAAAAGAAATGTACTGTGATAGTGACTAAAGAAATGAGGAGCTGGGGGTAATACATGGAGAAGGAACAAAATTAAAATTAAACTAGAGATGTTAGTTTAATTGCAACCTCCCTCTCTTCTTTGAAGAGGAGCACCTTGTGAGCCCCCCCACTCACTGGGGACTATGGGTATATAACACTGCCTATATAATACCAGGCTTGGGTTATGTGCTTTCAGTCTTGCTGAACTATTTTCCCCTCTTTTTTATTCTTTGTTATAAGGGACGATGCTATGGGAGTAGGAAAGGGTAACGATATATGGGAAAATGCAGGTGATATTAAAAACCAAAGATGTTGATAAAAAAAACTTAAGATAAACATGCAAAAGCTCATTATCAAAAACCAATTTTTTAAGCACTTCATGGGCAAGGGTTATGTTTTCTATGTTTTTTGTAAAGTTTTTGATAAAGTGTTCTGCTAAGTAGGAATTCAACATTCATATTTTGAAATCAGCTTGACTGTTCCTTGACTGAACCTGGAAAATCACACTAGGACAGGGAATGAGGAAGTAATTTTGCTTAGGAGACTAAAAGGGACTGTCATAATGAGACCTAATTAGAGAACTTTCCTCAGCTAAATCTCAGCCTCTCTGCCATGATTAGCCTACATAGATCAGAAGGAAAATGCCTAGAGACTCTTTAAAGAAGTATGGGGCCCTCTGGAGAGGTCTTAAGCACGATTTCCATTCGAGGATCCAATCAATTCCTTTTGGAAAAAATCTCTTAAATGCCCTCCTGACCCTACGATCATATTTGCTGGTTTAGGTTAATAAAAGACACACCCCTCCAAAGCCTAAAGGCTCCTGTTCTCTGACTTATTGGTGGCTGATATGGTGAAAAAAAACCCACCTCAACCCCACTGATTCATTTCTAAGGATGCAAGTCCTCTTGTGAGTGTGTGAGTGAATGGCCACTTCAATCTATTCCCACTGAAGGAATATGTGTTACATGCTTGCTGTACTAAGCCCTGAGAATGGAAGGACAGACAAATAACCAAGACTGCCTTCAAGGAGCTTATATGATTATAAGTCTGGGCCTGTGATCTCACTAGTGTAGGGAACTCCCAATGAGGAAACTCCCTCTACCAATGCAGGTAGGTATTTGATCTGCAACTGAATAATATTAGAGAGCTGCCCAGGGCACTGATTGCCCGAAAAACCCCAGCCAACCGGTGTCATCGACAAGTCTTGAACCCAGGCATTCCCAAGTCTGAATCTCTGTCCATAACATCTCAGGAGCTTGCAATTTATCAGGGGGGATAAATATGCACAAAAATAAATATGACACAAAGGATGATAAAACAAGTACAAAAATAAGTATGATACAAGTATGGGATCAAGGCAAGAGGAAGGCCTAAAGTAATCAGAAAAATCTGAAGAAAGAATGGATTCCTTTTAGCTAGGAGGGTAAGGCAAAATGTCATGGAGAAGGGAGCACCTCAGCTAGGATTTTAGTAGGAGGAAGTGAAGAAGAAAGGTATTTCAGGCACAAGGGATACATGACTTTGAGGAAAAAGATGAAGATGAAATCCAGGAACAAATAGCCGCCTAGTTTGCCTTACATGTAGAATGGGTAAACAGAATTCATTTACAACAAAGCTAGAAAGTAGATCAGAGCTAGACTTTCTAAAGTTTCAAAGGCCAGGCCCTCATTTTATTCTATCACAATGAGAAGTTATGCAAGCTTTTTCGAGCATGTGTGAATGACATGATCAGGCTCAGACTAGAAGATTATTTCAGTAGCCATTTGAAAGATGGCTTGAAAGAGGTTAAAACTGGAGGTTGGGAGATTCACAAGAAGACCACCACAATAGTCCAGGGGAAAATAATAAGATGGTGGCAATGTGAGCATTGAGAGAAAATGGGTTTGAGAGATACTGTGAAGGAAGGACTTGGCCACTGACTGGATATGCGAGGTGAAGAGGATGGATGATTCAAAGAGGACGCTGGTATTTCTTGCTAGATGACGTAAGATGGTGAGGCCGCAAACAATAACTGAAAATTTGGGAAAAGAGGCAGATTTGGGTAGGAAGAGGCATGATTGATTTCAGACATACTAAGTTTTTTGTTTTTGTTGTTATTTTGGAGATAATAGGGGTTAAGTGACTTGCCAAGGGTCACACAGCTAGCTAGTAAGTGTCTGAGGCTACATGTGAACTCAAGTCCTCCTGACTCCAGGGCCGGTGCTCTATCCACTGTGCCACCCAGCTGCCCCCAGACATGTTAAGTTTTGTGGCACTGTCATGATAGCTTAACAGGCAGCTGAAAATGTGGGGATGGAGCTCAAGAAAGCTATCAGAACTGGATATATGGACCTGGGAGTCATCTGCAGAGAGTACTTCCCCATTAAAGTCATGAGAGTGAATGAGAGCCCCAAAAGAGGATGTGAAGAGAGTGAAGGAACAAGAACGATGAACCAGAAGAGACAGAGAAGATGCAGCCCTGGAGGGAAAAGTGCTAGGAGAAAACTGTTATAAAAAGTGTGGAAGGAAAGAATATCAAGGAGTCCATAAGGTCAAATGCTGCCAAATGGTGTAGAAGGAACACAGCCAAGAAAAGAACACCGGATCTAGCAATTAAAAGGTTACTAGTGACCTTGAAAAGAGCAATTTCATTACAGATGGAAGCCAAGTTGTGGAATTTTAAGAGGGAGTAAGGAAGAACAGGCAGAAGAGTAAAGACTATTCTACAAATTGTTTTTTTGTTTTGTTTTGTTTTGTTTTAGGCAATTGGGGTTAAGTGACTTGCCCAGGGTCACGTAGCTAGTAAATGTCAAGTGTTTGTCTGAGGGCAGATTTGAACTCAGGTCCTCCTGACTTCAGTGCTGGTGCTCTATCCACTGCACCACCTAGCTGCCCTACTCTACATGTTTAGCAGTGAAAAAAAAAGATACTTTAGGGAGTATCTGGATGAAGGGAAAGATTTTTTAGGGTAGGAGAGACCTGAGGTTCATTTTAGGCATAAGAGAAAGAGCCAGAATATAGAGATATGAATGGATAGGAAAAAAGATGAGAAAGGACAGAATCAAGTATGAGTGGGATTTAGCATTAGATAAATGAAGGAAAACAGTAAAAGATGAGTGACTACAGAGGATTCAAGGTGACAAGGAGGGCAGATAAGATAGCCTATGGCAGACAGCCTTAAATCTTTTCAGTAAAGTGGAAGACACTATTGATCACTAAGAGAGAGAGAGGAGTAGGGTAGAGTTGGGGGCTAAAACAAAGGCTTTGAACTGCTATCCTAGGGAATGTGGTAGAAAGTTCATCAGAAATGAATAAAAGGCATACCACACAGTGAGCCAGATGAGGTTAGATGGCAGAAATTTATAATCATCTCTTGCACAGTTTCATGACTTCCTTGAGAATGCTCAGCAGCTTGCAGAAGGACAGAAGACAGATGGTGAAGGTGAGGCCACACTGAGAGCCACCAGGGCAGAAACAGAGGAAGGAAAATGGAATGTACAACTGAAGGGTAGAACAGTAATAGTGGACTGAGAAAACAGGAAGAATCCACGGGCCTAGAGGTTACAGGATCATGGATTTAGAGAGAAAAGGGACCAAAGAGGCCATTGAGTCCAACCCCTCATTATACAAGTAAGAAAACTGACACACAGAAACCTGAAGGGACTCGGTCTGGATTCATGACTAGGAAGTGTCTGAGGAGGGATCTGACCACAGGTCCTCCTATGTGCCAGTCTGGCATACTATCCTCTACAGCGTGCTGCCTCTCAATAGTTACAATAAAGGGCTTCTTCTAAAGCAGAAATTATGCCTATTTAACATTTGGGAAGATGGAGACAGTGACAAGAGCTCAAGGTCGCAGTGATCAGTAGAGCTAGAATGAGGCTCCTAACCTTCAAATTCTCAGTCCAACACTATTTCCACTAGGCCAGGCTGCATGGATGCCCAATAAACAGGGAGAAGCTTACCAATGCAGCTTTTAAATGGAACTGCAGTATCAAGGGTCTTAAAATGCTGGGTTGGCACATCACTGCACTCGTCCTCTTTGGCAGCTTCTTCCTCCTCCTCCTCCTCCTCCTCTTCTTCCTCTTCCTCCTCCTGTCTCCAGGTCCTTTGGTCCTGTTCTTCAGCATCCCTCCTCCTAGGCCTTTCTGGGAGGCGAGCACTTCTGAGAACTGCTCTCGCACGCATAAGAGTGTCCAGCTCTTCATAAAAGGGGCAAACCCCTGGGGGCTGGCTGCTTTTAGCTTTCCGGTAACTTCGTAGGAGGTTTTTGAACCTGTAGCGACACTGTTCTAGTGTCCGGAGGAAACCCCGTTGACGCAGCCGCTCAGCAATGGCACGATACACTTGGCTGTTCTGGTGACAGGTCTGAAGTTTTTTGGAGAAAGGAGATTCACCAAGAATGGCAAGGAAAGTCTTGGTTTCTTCATAGCTCCAGTGCACACCTGCTACCAGAAGAGAAGGTTTTAGAGCTCTCAAACCTAGAAAGAGGCATTCTGGTTGGTGCCTGGTGGCCTAGGGATAAAGGCCTGTTGGGCATATGAGGAATTTTAAAGGAATGGAAAAAAGAATCAGCACTTAGAGCTGGATTGGACCTGAGAGATTAGCTAATAAATGTGTTCCCCTCTATAGAAGGCCTTCCACTATTGGTGAGACGATTACTTGTCAAGAAGGTTGTAGAGGGGAATTCATGCTTCAGACAGGGAGCTTCAGGCTAGCTCCCCCCTTCAAGGTCCCTTCCAGTTCTAAGATTCCATGATTTTAGTGCAAGCCCCTCATTTTAAAGATGAGGAAACTGAAGCCCAGGAAGATTAAATAACCATCCAACGTACAACAGCCAGCGATCCACGTCTAATGGACCAGAAGTCACGTCTAATGATTCACCCACTAAAGGAGTGTCATTGACTATCAAGCCAAAACCATCACCCCCTCAGACCTGCATCCCCTAAATAAAAGAGCCCATGTAAGCCCTAAGGTCAAAATGTGGGCCCCTAAAGAAACATGTCAAAGATTCAGCTGGTTATAAAAATTTGGGCCCAGCTCTTTTTGTCTCTCTCCTTTATTTACTTATCTGTGTTACGTTGTATTTCCCTAGCAGAATGGAAGCTCTAAGTAAGGACTGCTTCATTCTTTGTACTTATATCCCTAGCACAGTACCTGACAAATACATGCACATATGTATATGAGCCCGACATAGTGACACAGACATATATGTGTATGTATTTATGCGTGTCTCTATATATGCACATGTGTTATGGTGTGTGTGCACACACACATATGCCTAAATGTTCACTGAACTGAACAGTACCTGATCACCACTGCCCCAGCATGCTATGTATGTTGGGAGAATTTAGCTTAATGATCCAAAAGGACTCTTCACTACTTTTATTCATGCCACACCAGAGTCATCAGGTTGGGGAATGCTAGTCTACACCATCTATATATGTTTACTGTTGTTTTAATCCACATTGATTTTTTACTCTAAACTTCTAAAGGATACTAACTAGAGTTAGGCAACACCGGACCAGTGACAGCTTCTCAAAGCCTCAGTACTCACAACTGTAAAATGAAGTGGCACACCTAAATCCAATTCAAAAAACATTTATCAAGCATTACTGTGTGTAGTGAACTGTACTAAGTGGTAGGAAATAAACAATACTTAGATAAAATGTGGTCTTTACTCTCATAAAGCTTACAATCTGAAAGATAACCTTTAGGGCCCTTCCGGCTCTAAAGGTCTTCAACTGTAACACTTCCGATTTCACTAGCTCATCATTCCCCTTGCTTCCCCACCCTGCACCCTTTGTTTTGTATGTGTCCATGAGTTAATTTGGGGGCAACCATTAGGGGGAGACAGGGCAGAAGATAAAGTAGTTGAGGGTAGGGGTAGGTGCGAGGACCCTAACAGATTCTTACCAATACGACTCTGGAAAAAGGTGGAGCCACTAGACATCCTGGGTCCTTGGATTGGTTCTTCAATGACCACCTCATCCCCATCACAGTCTTCAGCTGTCGTGGCCTCTGCAGCTGCCTCACGTTCCCAGTTCCCTTCTTCCTGCTCTTCTGTCTCAGCATCACTATCCCCCAACCTGGAGAGCCCCGCAGCCTTCTCGGAGATGTCTGTGGCTCTGACAGCAGCCCGAGCCTTCACCAGAGTGTCCAACTCTTCATAGAAAGGGCAAGTGCCAGGGGGGTGGCTGCTCTTGGCTTTCCTATAGTTTCTTAGAAGGTTTTTGATCCTATATCGGCACTGCTCCAGGGTTCGCAGGAAACCCCTCTCTCTCAATCGCTCAGAGATGGCCCGGTACACAGGGCGGTTCTGATGACAAGTCCGGAGTTTTTCAGAAAATGGGGACTCGCCAAGGATTGCAAGGAAAGCCTTTGTTTCTTCATAGCCCCAGTGCACCCCTGTAACCCTCATATCTTCCACATCCCACTGTTCCTGCTCTTCCCAGGGTTTTACTTCCTTCATGGAGGATGTCTGCCCTAGTCTCACTCGTTCTTCACATGTACTATGATCTGCAGGGTTCTCTCTTTTCCCAGAGTCCAGAAGGCTTGGCACACATGGCTCTCTTCCTTGCTCTGGCCAGGAGATCCTGCTAGGTTTCAAAACTGGAAATCCGGTTCACAGGGAGGCAAAAAGGAGAAATGATGGTTTGTGTAGGTTCCTAAACTTTCCCAAAGTTCAGTCCCTTTCCCTGATACAGGTGGACAGAACATGACCCCATAGGAATAATGATGATGGTGACGTTGATGATAATAGGTGATATGTAAAGTGCTTTAGGGTATACATTCTCATTTGATCCTCACAAAAAAAACCCTATTGGACAGGTACTAGGGCACAATATCCTTTGTGATGAAGAGGAAACTGAGGCTGAGAAGTTAAATGACCTTCCCAGAGCCAGTATGGATCAGAAGAAGGATTCAAACCCAGGTCACTCCTCTATTCCAGCCACACCATGCTAAAGGAAATGAGTGCACATTTGGCCTTAGGGAATGAGGAAACAGAATGTTCATTAGAACAGCTGTAGCAAAAGTCTCAGTGTGATGCAGGAGACAGAACACTGGGCTGGAAGACATGGCTGGGCAACAAGGACTAGTACAGAGAGTCCTGGGCCTCAGAGAGTCAGGAAAATCTGGGTTTGAATCCTGCCTGTGGCACTAACTGGTATGACCCTGACCAAGCCACCTTTCTGGGCTTCAGCTTCCTGTTTGGAACCAATGACTTCTAACATCCCTTCCAGCTCCAAATCTGGAATCCTCTGAGTCCAGACCTGGTTCTGCCACTAATTAGCTACATGACCTTGGGAAGGTCACAGAGCCTCTCAGGGTCTCAATTTCCTCATCTATAAAATAGCCTAATCTCTGAGGTCCCTTCCAACCCTAAAATTCTATGATTCTTATAAGTCTGGTTTTAAACTTAGCTAACCATTAACTGCCTAACTGGAACTTTCAATTAAACAGTTTCTTTTTCTGAGCAGTTCACTTTTTTAAGAGAAAGACGCCAAAAAGACAAAACAAATTTTTACTGGAGATCTAGTCAAAATGAGGTATCTTCCACCTCCTGGCTTCCCAGGCTCCCTCCAAGACCTGGCTCAAATCCCACCTTCTACAGGAAGCCTTTCCCAACCCCTCTTAATTCCAATGCCTTCCCTCTGCTGATCAATTCCTACTTATCCCATCTATAGCTTGTCTGGCAGAGTTGTTTTCATGTTGACTCCCCTAAGAGACTGTGAGCCCCTTGAGGGTAGGGATTGTCTTTTGTCTTTCTTTGTATCCCCACAACACTTAGCACAGTGCCTGGCACAACTAACCCTACAGTCATCCTCCACCCCAGATAGTAACCACTCATGTCTGAGGGGATGCCTCTGAAGTCCTGCAAGACATTCAGCTAGAAAAGAATTCTTCAGCTTTCCTAGAAAGAAAAGCAGACACAGATTTCTGAAATATTTTCAGCAAGAGTTGGAAAAAGACAGAGTTATGAAGCTAAATAATCCTTGAACAACTAGAAAAGTCCACTCATCTGATACATCTACTTCTGAAGTACCTGGTTAATCAGCTGGATGACATTCTATTTCTGAATATACAGGGAACAAATATTTGAGGGGCCCATAATAATAGCCCGTGTTAATGTTAACCCTAAGGAGTGTGCTGTCAGGGGAGGTCCAGGAGCCCAAGTGATGTTATGTTTAGGATCAAAGAAGTTAAAACAAGAATCTCAGAGAGATTGACTAGAAGATTAAAAGAGACCATTCTCTCTCAACAGAAAGAAGCTCCTTGAGGGTAGGAACTGCTTTGGTTTTGCTTTTATATCCCTAGCATCTTACGTAGTACCTGGCACATAATGAGCCCTTAATAAAAGCTTGCTGGTTGCTTCAGATTAAAACAGATACAGGAAAAACAGACATGGCACAATAAAGTTACCGGCACCAATGTAAATGAGGAAGGTGGAAGGAGGTCAATATTAAAAAGAAAATCCTTATAAAGACCAAAAATTCTCACAATAGTACTTTTGGAGCAAGAAACAAACTGCAAACAAGAGAGGGACCCATTGACTGGGGATGGCTAAACAAGATATGAGGATGAATGGAACAGAATACTATTTTGTCACAAGGATCAAATGTGAGAAACATGGGAAGACTCATATGAATTGACATAAAGAGAGTAGAGCTTGAAGAGAAATATACACGATATTATAAATAAAGACAACACAATTCAGATCAAGTATGATGACCAATATCAGTTCCAGATAACTGACATAGGAATGCACTGCCTTTCTCCTGGTACAGAGGTGGCAGCCTCTGGGTGTAGGATACTGCACATGCTGTTCGAGTCACAGTTACTGCATCAGATGGTTTTCTTGACTTTTATTTTTTCTCTTATTAGGGAGGAAATCACAGAATGGAGGGGATCCTTATAAGGTGACAGGAGTATAAAAACAAAAATGCATCAATAAAAACATTTAAAAAAAAGAGAAACAGAGCAAGTTAAGCAAAGAAAAATCTGCTTAATAAAGGGGAATAGTTTTGGGGTTTTGTTTTGTTTTTGGCGGGGGCGGGGGGGGGACCAGAAATGTAGTGCATCAGCTCCAAATCACAGAAGGAATTCTTTAATCATATGAGAATCATTAGAGTAAAAATGCTCCTCTGTGCTTCTTGTCAGGATAAACTCTGCCCCAGCAAAAGCTCTGGCAAGTCCACCCCCACCAGAACGTGTCTGACTACAGACAGCAGAGCATCTACAGGCCAAGGATCGGCTTGCTGTGCACGAGACCCGCAGCAGAGGCTCTCCCGACTTTCCTGGTTCACAGTGCCCCTGGCATCTCAGCAATTGTTTCACAGCTCCCTGAAGCCTCAATGTTCCACTGTACCCCTGTGAGTTTGCTGCAGGGTTTGCAAACCCCAGATCTAGATGGCTGGACACGAGGTAATAGGGGTGAAGGATGGTTTGGCCACAGTGACCCATAAAGTGGACAAAAGTATAAACAGATCTCAGGGCTGTGCCTCCTGTGCCTCTTTTGCAGGGATGGTGGCGGAAAAGAAGTTCTAAAAGTATCACATGTCTCAGACTGCTCACAATTTGTGGTGTCCTTAATCTATAATCTCTAACAGTTAACAACCTGACACACCACTGAAGGAACTGAACCATAACCACACTGATGTTTTCACCAGAAAAAAAGGTATATCTGACTGGAAAGATGACAGGGAGGCACACAGAGAGGAAAAGATAATGCTTGGGTTCTCCTTGGAGAAATGGGCAAAAACTGGTGGACTTTGTTTCATTATACACCTAGAAGTGACCAAAAAAACCCTTCCTCAAGCATCCCCTGCCCCCAGGGAGCAGGAACCTCCCCTCCTTGGACATCATGGGGAAGTTTTTTTCTACTTCTTTAATACACATATGGGGCAGCTAGGTGGTACAGTGGACAGAGCTGCAAGCCTGAAGGCAGGAAGACTCATCTTTCTCAGTTCAAATCCTGCCTTAGACACTTACTAGCTGTGTGACCCTGGGCAAGTCACTTAACCTTGTTTGCCTCAGTTTCCCCATCAAAAAAAAAAGAGCTGGAAAAAAAAAAGAGCTGGAGGAAAGGGCAAACCACTCCACTATGTTTGCCAAGAAAACCCCAAATGGGGTCATGAAGAGTTGGACGTGACTGAAATAACCGAACACCAAAAATATACATAAGCTTTGTTTTGTATTCTAGTTATGAATAAAAGTGGCATATCCCCCTTGAGGCAGCTGATGACAAACAAGAGAGTGCTGGGCCTAGAGTCAGAAAGATGAGTTCAAATACAGCCTCAGCCACTTAGAAACTGTAGAACCCTGGGCACATCACTTATTCTCTGCTTGCTTCCATTTCCTCAACTGTAAAATGGGGATAATAATAGCACCTCTCACTGGGTTGTTATGAATCTCAAATGAGATAACAGGTATAAAAAAAAGCACTGAGCACACAGGAGACACTATTTAAATGCTTATTTCTCTTGTAAACTCTATGAAGGCAAGGACTTGGTCACACAGTTTGTATTTAATAAACATCTGAACTGGAAGCTCCTCTTCTTATGCCCTATAATTAGTCATTTTGTGCTAATAAAAGAGATGAGAGACATGGATGACCTAAAAACAAACCATCTTTAGAGAGAGAGATAGAGAAAGACACACACACACACACACACACACACACACACACACACACACACACACACACCCCTGACAGAGGTTCTGAGAACACGAGCCCACTGGGTTTAACTGGTCTTTGATTCTTAAAAAGCATACAATCCAGTTCAATGAAATTCCATTTTAAAAGCATTTGTTCTGAGCTGCATCTGTCTAAGCCTCACTGAGTCAACAACTGGCAAGCCTCATTGGAATGTAACAGAAAAAATGTAAAATCGGTTTCATTCACTTTTCTAAAACACTCAATTTTAAAAATGCAAACGAGCCTCACTCATTTTCAGATTTTTTTGTTTGCGTTTTTACCATCCTAACTTTCTTTGAAGAGAGCCAGTGTGGCATAAGGAATAGTGAGTAAGCCCCAAAGTCAAGAAGGCTTGTGTTCAGGTTTCCCCTTGAGCACATCGCTCCAGCTATGTTTCTAAGGCCCAAAGCTGTACAGAAAGAGCTGATCTGCCTCAGGAGAGATCAAATGAGATGATATTTGTGAAATGCTTAGCACAGCACCTGACACCTACCAGGTGCTTAATCAATGCCTGCTCTCTTCTCTTGTTCCCTGGTGGAGGGAGTTTCCTCACCAGGAGTTCCCTACAATGACAAAATCACAGGCCTGAACAACAACACACTTTTAAGCCCTCTGCTTTCTTAAAAAAGACTGTCTTTCATGGGCTAAAGCCCAGGCAGACTGAGAAAATCCAGCCTGGCAGGGGCAGGTACCACATCTTGGCAGGCAGGTAACATAAAATAAGCAGCAATCCCAGGTGACACCCAGCAGCCCAGGGGCTTATTTAATGCCTAGCCAAGAGTACAGCCAACACTGAAGGAAGGAAGCTGCTAGCAAGGACCAGACTTTCACAAGATCAAGAAAAAGACCCTTTGGTCTGGTCAGGAAACTTCTAACAGGAAAATATTGTTAAGACTGATAATTTCTTCTGTACCAGAATTTTACAAATTCTTGATCTGATCCCTCTACCAATCAACGTGGCCAGTGGTTAATGAAGTAACTGAACTCAGGCAGCTCTGTAGGGACTTTTCCATTAAGATATATGGACGAACCACAGCATGGCTCTCCAGAGCACTCTGGCACCTCCCTGTACTCCTCTTAATTACAACTTAGCTCCCAGTCAATTCATTCTTCTTACGGAAAAGCATGGAGAAAAGCCCTGGGAACCCCAAAACCTGATACAAAAACTCTTAGTAAAGTTAAACTGGGAGTTAATCAGAAAGCTGAATCTGCCTGTGAGTAGCACAAATCACATTAGATGATAATGATATTTTTGCAGCACTTTTAAGGTTTGCAAAATACTCTGTTACCTTATTGGATCCTCCCAATAAACCCTATTGTAGGTACTATTATTATTCCCATCTTACAAATGAAGAAACTGAGGCTGAGATTAAGAGATCTGTCCAGGGTCCCAGAACTCATGTCTGAGGCTGGATTTGAACTCAGGTCTTCCTGGCTCCAGGCCAAGCAGTCTATCCACTGTACCACTAAGCTGCCTAGGAAAAGAGCTGGGAAAAGTCAGGAAGGAGAAAGAGAAAGACAGAGAATCCAGTCAGCTTTCTAACATTAATGAAGTAATCAAAAATAATTATGAGGCCCTGGAAATAAAATTCAGATTAGGATGCAGAAGGCTTAGAACTAACTAGAAAGGACCTTACAGACCACCTAGCAGCCACCCAGCCCCTACAGAAGCCTCTTTATTCAAACATTAAATATAAAAACATGTCTCAGGGCCAAATGGAAATGACTTTTAGATCATTTCTGCCTCTAGTCCATGGGCTCTTAACCATTCTTGTGTCCTGCACCCCTTCAGCCTTCTTGGAAAGTTTTTAAATGCATTAAATACAGGGGATTCTAGAGGAAACAAAATATACTGGAATGCAGTTATAAAATATTTTTTAAAACACCAAGTTCATAGTCAGTTGATAAGCATTTATAAAGTATATTCTATGTGCCCTATTATCTGCCTGGCACTGTGCTAAAGCTGCTAAATAGACCCTGGGTTATAAGAACTCCTGATCTAGTTAGATCAATTAGAATAATGGAGAAGAGAGCATGGGATTAGTGGAGCTATAGATAAGATGAGGCAAGATGAGATGAGATAACCCAAGATCCTCCTTGCCCTCAAGAAATCTAGAGGAATAGGGCACAGTGACAAGGAGAGACTACCAAATCAACTAATTAGACACATTATAGTCAATGATACATCAAGGTTTTACACTGAGGGCTCTGAGTGACAAATGGGCCCCCAGTTAAATAGAGAAGAAAGAAAGAGAAACAGGCTCAGTGGCAAACAGAATAAGCTGGTGTGAGGTGCCAGCAGAACACACAGATGGAAAGGCACGTCTGGAGCTCAGAAAGGCCAAAGCTAGAAAGAGAGACTGAAAGAAGAGAGAAGACGTGAGGATGGAATCTAGGGGAGGGTCTGAGAAAGTGCAGAAAGAGAAAGTAGGGGGCATTCTTAGTCAGGTGAGGGTTGGGCTAGACGTTCTCTCGTGACAGACTCTTGATGACTCCAGATGACAAGTTTTTGGAGGACAGTCACCTTAATAAGGGTCTAGGAAAAAGAAAAAAGAACTAGTGAAAAAGTCAGAGAAGGGGGTTATTATACCTCAATTCGATAGGCTGGCACCATTTAAACAAAGAAAGATGTTCATTTATTGGTTAATGCCTCAGTTGAGCACGCATGCCCCTGGAATCTTAAAGACTTAGAAAGCATACTAACCTAATCTGGAGATAAGAAATATTATTAAAGGAATGTCTTGGAAGCACTTGGAAAGGAAAGAAGTGACACCAAAGGTTCATCAAAAACAAGTCATGCCACATTAATAAAGTCACTTCCTTTTTCTGGCAGGATTACATAACTGGCCATATTTATAGATTCTCTTTTCTATGCCACTGATCTTTGTTTAATCCAAACCAGATAGTTTTGATAATTGCTAATATATTAACCTGGCAATTCAAGGAAACGCCTGGTTTTCCACAAGGAAAGTGACAACATCTCTCAAGATTTCCTTGTAGAAAGGAGACAAGTGGGATGGCTCAGTGGCCTTCAAACTTTTCTTGATAGCACACTTCAATCGTAAAAAATGTTTTGAGCACATACCCCCAATGTGTATATTTACTTACAAGTTATATACATTACTATTGGGTGAATAACTACGTACATTATAAAACCTACACAAAAATAGACATTTCAGAAAAAGATAAAAATGAAATAATATCTTGTTCTGGAGTCAAGAGGGAACCAATGGAGTTTACTAAGTAGGGGAGTAACATGGTCAAACCTGAAAATGACTTTGGCAATTGTATGGAGAGTAGACTGCAGAAGGCAAGAAGGGCAAGACTTGCATGAGGGAGCCTAATCAGGAGCCTTCAGGAACAGTGCAGGCCAGAAGCGATAGGGACCTTGACTAGAATGGTGGTGCTTTAGGGAAGAGGAGATACACCTGAGGGATATTATGACAAGAGAAATGATAAGACTGGGTAACTAACTACGTATGGGGAGTGAGAATGAGGAGTCAAGGATGACACTGAAGCTGTTTGGGTGACTGGAAGCACTGTGGTGGCCTCAGCAGTAAAAGGGAAGTTTGGAAAAAGGGTGGGTTTTCAACAATGTAAGGGGAGGAAGGAATGAGCATTTATTAAGAGTTAACTATACGCCAGGCACTGTGCTAAGCACTTTACAAATATTATTTAATTTAATAATGATACAATGGTAAGGATAGCTTCAATCCAGATCACAATCCATCCAAGCCTCTTCATCCTATGTAAATCACTTTGTCCCACCCAAAATGAAAAGGGGTACTAAACATAGCTATGAGGTGATCTGGGGAAAAGGGGTTGGTAAGCTGGGAGCTTGGAGAAGTGTTCCCAATAGCCCTTGCACAGCTGCTGCTGTGAGTGCCCACAGAGTAGGCCCAACTCAGGTGAAATTGTGGGATGTTGGACAGTGGAGGGAGGGAGAAGAGTTGGGAAGTGCTGAAAGATAAGAGTGGGTTTATTTGTGTTAGAGATAAGCATCATTATTGATTATTTCAGACAGAGTAGAAGATGAGCCATCTTTCTACCAACTGATTGATCACATACCCTTTAGGGTTAAGCCAAATTTGGAGACCACAGTTAGGTGAATTCAGAAGTAGCTGAATGACCAGAATTCTATCAAGAAATTACAAAAGGACATAGACAAGAAATGCACTGGATGAAAAGGTATGGGAAGAATGAAATCCGTATCATCGAAGGGTGTTTCCACATTGATCCCAGATACACTATAGCACTGAAGTAATTAAATTTTACATCTTGTGCTTGGATTCAAAAAACCAATCGCACAGGCACAAGATAGGGGGAGATATGGCCAGACAATAATTCAAATGAAAAAGATCTGGGGGTTTTCAGAACCTGCAAGTTTGTTATGAGGTAATCACTTTCCTAGCTGCCAGAAGAGCTAAAGCAATCTTAAGCAACATTAGGAAGAACGCAGGAGGTAGCAGTCCCAACATACTCTGCCCTGTTTTAAAATGACACTAACAAACTGGAGTGTGTGTGGAGCAGAGCAACAAGGCTGGTGGGGTAAGTGGATGCCATGCTACCAGAGGGCTAGTGGAAGCAACACTATCTCATGGAAGCAACATCTATTTAGCCTAAAGAAGAGACCTGAACTCCCCTGTTCATACAGTCTTTAAGGATCTGAAGGGCTAGCATGGGTGAGAGGGGCTAGACTTGTTCCCCTTGGTCCTAGAGCAAAAAAAACAAGAGAAATCAGCGAAGGTGGAGGTGAAGCTGGCTTTGACCCAATAGTAAATAAATAAATGGATGGATAGATAGATGAATGAGTAAGGAAAAGAAGGTGGAGGGGGGAAGAGAGAGAGAGACAGACAGAGAGAGATTTCCTAACAATTAGAGCCACCCAAAGCTGAAGTGGGCTTCCCTAAGAGGCAGCCAGTCTCCCCATCAGCAGAGACCAGAGGACCATGACCACGTGACAGGGTTGTTATACAGGGGATTCCTACTCAGATACAGGCTAGACAAGGTGACCTTTAAGAGTCCTTACAGTTCTGAAATGCTATGTAGATAAAGGCCAGCCATCTCCGCCACTTTGGTAACCTTGAGTAGTCACAGACTGCTGCTTAGAAATCCTCTAGGAAACAATCTCATTTACAGATAGAGAAACTGAGGGCCCAGGAGGTTAACTGATATGTCCATGGCCCCACAGCTGGTCACTGGAGCCCTGATTCCTAGGGCTCTCTGGTGCTGTTTCCATAAGGTCACCTGCACATATGTAAGAGCATGTGTGTGAATCAGGGTAAACAAACTTTGTGATTTGTAAACCTTTAAGAAGTAGAATTCTGTACCTACTGGCATTATGTCTTAAAGCTTCTGTCCCTTGGATACATGTTTAGTGACAGCCTTCTGACTTCCTGCCTACTGTTCATTTGTCTACATCTCACAGTCACCTCAAAGGGTTTGAAGCACCCCACGGAGAAAATGCCAAAATAGCAGAGAAGCGCAAAGAGCCAAATTCTTATCATTATACCACAAAAGAAGCTATTACTGTCTTTATAAAGACAATGTAGTTGACATCAATTTCCTTGAAACATGTATGAAGACATGGGACACAAGTGGGAATGACACAAACGATGGAAACCTGACCAGGCTACTATGAAGAAGGGAACCCAATGATGTCATGTAAGCACACTCTCCCACCCATGAGAAGAACTGGGGATGGGAAGTTTGCAACAATGCTGGATATGAGCCTGTCCTGCAGAGGGCACGAGTTGGGGTCCTAGTCCTCATCACACAGGCACTGACTCCACGGAATAGCCACCCAAAGAGCTATCAGAGAACAAAATGCACCAGAATCAGATGGCTTCTCAATTATAAGAGCAATCAGGCCTTACCCAGCGAAAGCTTATTTCCATAATTCTCTCTTGTGGCATCCTTGCAGACAACCTTCCGAGCAGGGTTCCCATGGCTTGCAGAGAAGTACAAAGATGCATCCTCATCTGTTATCGACCCCTGAAACAATCCAAGGTCCCCCTGGTCAGGATCTATAACTCAGGGACAATTCCCCGGCCCACCTGGCATAACAGATCCAAAGGGATGAATCCAAGACAAATTACTTAAGGTTTCCCAAGGATGGGGTTTGTGTCAAAAGAGGCAACATGAAAATGGAAGAAGACCAGAAGATGGGGAAACAAGGGAGTGATCTACAGCAAAAGCAAGACTCTCCAGCATGGACTTAGAGACAGGGTGAGTGGGGCCCAGTATGAGAGTGGATCTGCACTCAAGAGAGGAAAGAACAAACTGCAACTTACCTGGGAGTCAACTGCCACCTCCCAGTCCCCAACACTCCCCATCTTAGGCAGGGCAGGAACCCGGGGTGCAAGGACAGCTGAGGAGAAGAATGAAGACATTTCATTCCAAGTGCCCACAACTTAAGCACCTTGGAAACACCCAGACCAATCCTTCTTCGTATCTGTTGCTGCCCCTATGTTTGGGGGCTGGCAAACACTTGCCCTGGTGAGAGCATATCCCCATCTCATGGATGACTAACAAAGGAACCTCAGACAACTGCACACAGCAACAAACACTAACTTCCTGTAGTACACCTTCAGAAGCAATCTGAGAACTGGAAAAACAGATGTAAAGGGAGAAAGGGAAAATCCTGACTCCAATATCCAATACAGATATTTACTTGAGACAAAGCAACAGACATGATGGGTAGACTCCAGCTCAAAATCCAGAGTACACTGGTATCCAACTGCTCCGCTGAGTATTTACATCTATCAAAACCTCTACAATGTTACCACCCACTCTACCATGGGATGGAAAAGGGATAACTTTGATTACATTAAATTTAAAAGATTTTGCACAAACAATACCAATGCTACCAAGATTAGAAGGAAAGCAGAAAACTAGGGAAAAATTTTTTGCAGCAAGCTTCTTTGATAAAGACTGTATTTCTCAAATATATAGAGAACTGAGGCAAATTTATAAGAATATAAGTTCTTCTCCAATTGTAAATGGTCAAATGATATGAAAGGCAGTTTTTAGAAGAAGAAATCAAACCTATTTATAGTCATATGAAAAAATGCTCCAAATCACTACTGATTAGAGAAATGTAAATTAAAATAACTCTAAGGTACCACCTCACATCTATCAGAATGGCCAATTTGACAGAAAAGGAAAATAACACATGTTGGAAGGGATGTGGAAAAAAACACAAGGACACTAATGCACTGCTGGTGGAGTTGTGAACTGATCTAACCATTCTGGAGAACAATTTGGAACTATGCCCAAAGGGCTAAAAAAAACTGTGCATACTCTTTGACCCAGAAATACCACTACTAAGTCGGTGGCCCAAAGAGATTAAAAAAAAAAAAAAAGAGGACCTATTTGTACAAAAATATTTACAGCAGTTCTTTTTGTGGTGGCAAAGGATTGGAAATTGAGGGAAAGCCCATCAATTGGGGAATGGTTGAACAAGTTGTGATATGATTGTGATGGAATACTATTGTGCTTTAAAAAATGACAAGGAGGATGCTTTCACAAAAATCCTGGAAAGATTTACATGAACTGATGCAAAGTGAAGTAAGCAGAACCAGGAGAACATTGCACACAGTAACAGCAACATCGTAAGGATCAACAACTGTGAATGATTTGGCTCTTCTTGGCAATACAATGATACAAAACAATTCCAAAGGACTCATGATGAAAAATGTTATCCACCTCCAAAGAAAGAACTGATGGGAGTCGGAATGCAGATCAAAGCATACTTTCTAACTTTGCTTGGTTTTCTTGGGCATTTTTTTTCCATGTCTTTTTTTTCACAACATGACTAATACGGAAATATGTATTGCACAACTGCACAAGTATAATCTATACCAAATTATTTGCTTTCTCAATGAAGGGGGAGGGGAGAGAGGGAAGAAAAGAATTTGGAACTCAAAATCTAAAAAAATATTAAAAGTTTTCACCTCTTTTTTTTTACAATTTTGAGTTCCAAATTCTCTTCCCCCCCCATTGAGAAGGCAAGCAATTTGATAAAGATTATACATGTGCAGTTATACAAAAGATAACCAAAAAGTATACAGATAGACAGATATAGATATAAGTATTATTTTTGGTTTTGTTTTTTTTTTCTTTTTTTTTGTTTTAGGCAATTGGGGTTAAGTGACTTGCCCAGGGTCACACAGCTAGTACGTGTCAAGTGTTTGGTCTGAGGCCGGATTTGAACTCAGGTCCCTTCTGACTTCAGGGCTGGTGTTCTATCCACTGTGCCACCTAGCTGCCCTCGATACAAGTATTTTTTTAAATGTTACGGCCTACTTGCTGATGTCTAAACCCCTTAGGCAGAGTTCTCCTTCACCCCACAAGGCCCTGGTTCTCACCATTCTCTTTAAGAGGCCGTGGTTCCTCCTTGGGCTGGTGCTGCTCAGGCAGCCCTGGGCAGGGATTCTGCAGTGGCTGTTTCTGGGATTGTCCCTCAGACTGGCGGTCCATGGACTCTATCTCTGAATCTGTCACTGCTTCCAAAGGCCTAGACTTCTTCGAGGATACTTCCTGTCCATGTGCACTGGCAGTAATCTGTGGGAAAACCTCCAATTATCATCACTCAACAAATCCCTGGTTGGGAGTATATCGCATTGCAAGAAATGCTAATATCTTTGATTCAAACCAGTGCTGGTTTATGTGGGACATGGTTAAATGTCCTAAGACAGGAGTTTAAAAACACACACACACAACAGGATTTATATATTCATATGATTTAGAACTGAAAGGGGCTTAGAGACCATCTAGCCCAGCACCCTCATTTTATACATGATTAAACTACAGCACAGAGAGGTTAAGAGGCACATTCCAAGTCACTCTGAGGTTAAAGGGCTTACTCCAGGAGAAATCATATGCTAATAATAAGTAGCAAAGGATTTGAACCCAGGTAATGGGATTCAAATGCTGAGATTCTGTGAAATCCAATGGTCTTCTCACACCACTGAATTACTGTGGTAATTCACTTATTCCAACAATGCAGCCTTTGTTCAAGACATCTCTAGAATCATCCTTGGAAGTTACCTCCAGGATACCAAAAAAGCAGATCCACAGTTTCACCTTCCCAAGGGCTTTACACATTACACAATGCTTTCCTCAGAACACTCTTGGGGGGCAGGAAGTGGAAACATTATTCCTGTTTTACACACGGGGACAACCTTCCCTGAGTCACCAAAGTTAGGGCTAGCAATCAAACTCAGATCTTCTGACTAGGGTCCTGTGTTTTCTCCACTATCTCATGCTGCCTCTGAGTCCGAGCCATATTACACCATTTACTGACCACAACTGACACTAAATTGAAGCTAATTCCAAAAATCCAATTCACCTTCAAAGAACAAAGATTTGCCAACAAAGAAGACATTGGGAAGGCAGTCCACTACTGTGGAAACAGTGCTAGATTTGGCATCAGAGGACCCAGGCTCAAGTCTTTATGCCTCCCTGACTCTTGCCACCTGTGTGATGTATGAAGTCCCTGAGTATCCTGAGGATAAATCACTGAACTTCTCTGGGCCTCAGTTTCTTTACCTGTAAAATGAAGAGGCTGGGCTAGATGACCTCTAAGGGCTGTTCTATGGTCCTATATTGAAAAGAATGTGCCACAGGTCATTCCAGAAGAGCAATTTCTGAATGTTCTGAGCTACAGCAGCCTCGCTGGAACATCTTCAGCCTCCTCTGAGGTCTGCTTTGAAAGAGGTCCAAATGTTCATAAGTTTCGTTAACTTAGTGCCAGATGATGTGTGGCTTTCCCTTGCCTGGCTCAACAAAACCTCACACCTACCCTCCCTGCCAACCCTCCAGTATTACTACTCCCAAGTGGAGATGACAGCAGGGGCCAGTATCAAGGCAAAGATAAGGAAAAAATGTATTCACTAAGAGGGGAAAGTGAGCAGGAGTTAATGACAAATTGGCTGTGGCAAGCCAAGTTGATTTTCCCTGCCTAGAATGCCTGTTTTTCCATTCTTTCTGCCCACTGAAATCCTACTCATCTTATAGGACTCAGCTCAAAGGCTACCTTCTCCGTGAAGCCTTTCGAGAACACTTAACCAGAAACTTACCTTTCCTTTCGCAGAGCCCAAATGTTCTTTGTGCCTTAGTGCTTCTGAGCTCATTGGGTTCTCTTTATTACGACAGCCTTCTGTATATAATGTGAGAGAAGACTTAGAAGTGGGCATACTGGCTGTTTTCAAGTATTTTTTGGAAGGGCTGTTAAGAAGAGGAATCAGGGCAGCAAGGTGGTGCAGTGGATAGAGCACCGGCCTGAAGTCAGGAGGACCTGAGTTCAAATCTGGCCTCAGACCAAACACTTGACACTTACTAGCTGTGTGACCCTGGGCAAGTCACTTAACCCCAATCACCTTAAAAAAAAAAAAAAGGAATCAGAGTTCTGGAGCCTGGCCTGAGAAGGAAGAATGAGAAACAGTGGGTAGATGCTACAGCTCTGCAAACTTGACAAGCTGCAAGAGAAAATGTCTTACCAGTGAGATTTCCTCCCACAGTGGAATGTGCTGCCACAAAAGGTAGTGAGTAGGAGGCCCTAAATGACCACTTGTTTGTCTTTCCTAGAAATGATTCCTGTTCAGGTGGAGGTTGACCAAAACTATACTGGAAAGGTAGAAGTCTCCATCTCAGATTCTGTGTCTGTGTTAATACAAGGGGAAAAAATACTAAAATGGTCCAAGAAGACTCCAAGGCCAGGTTTTTCCAAGGAAGTGTAGGCATGAAAACCATGGAAATAACATGGAAGTCCTCAGCTCTACTGCCAGGCAAGGGCAAAGGCCAAAAACATTCTGGTGGTCACTGGCAAAACATGTGGCATAATGGACAGAGTGCTAGACTTAAGAGTCAGGAAGACCCAAGTTCAAATCCTACATCAGATACTAACTGTGTGACCCTGGGCATGTCATTAATTTCTGTCTGTTTCCTCATCTGTAAAAATGGGGATAATGATAATGCCTGTCTCACAGGGTTGTTGTGAGGATTAAATGAGGTAATATATACTTTGCGAACCTTAAAGCACTAAAAACAAAGGCTAGCTAGCATTATTGTAACCTAGCATGAACACCTGTTAGCAATTAGCAAAGGCTATGATCATCAGGTACAGTCCATCAGAAAATAGAAGTCTAGCACGATCACCATGCATGTTTGTGTCCCAGCACAATGAAGAATGCTGCTAATGCTAATACGGATTAGGTGAATGGTAGGGGGGAGCTCATGAATCCAAATCATGGTCCACTTCTCTTCTGATGGACAGGTGAACTAGAACTGAGAGAGCTACAGACATTCCTGTTATACATGGATCTACTGGAGCAGAAATTACTGGGATCAGAATATCAGTTCTTACCTAAGGGCCATACACCCCCCAGCTCTGAAGGGAATAGTTATGTCCTGCAATGGGCAAGTTCTTTCGGAGAATTTTAAAAGAGGGAGAATTGTTAACATCCAGGCAACAACTACCAAAGAGAAAAGCCCTCAGGGAATTCTGTGCCTGGTGGCAGGATAAGGCTTCTTGGCAATGCTTCCTGATAGTAAAGGGGAATTCCCCCTGGAGGGAGGAAGTGAATAGGTGAGAAAAAAAAGCAACTACTGGTACAACTCACTTGAGACTTAGCCCTATAGGAACCACATGCCAAGAAGCAGAAGTTGCCACTTCCTTCCCTTCCACAGCTCATATGAAGAGGGAGGTACTACATGATCTGGTCCTCTGCCCCTCAAAGCCCAATATTTTAATTTGCCATTTTTTCTAACCTGTGTAAATCCTATGATCAGGAACAGAAGAAATTCTCTTTATATCTTTCAAACTCCCTAAAATAGGCTGCAGCTACTGTCAGATTTGGGACTCGACCACTTGCAATGCTGGCATCCCCAAAATCTAGGAGACACAGCCATAAAATGTATTTCTTCAGTTAGAATCCTATTTTCCCCCCATGGACTTCCATTGCAAAACTGGAGTTTACTGGGGACTTTGTGCCCACTGGTCTTGATCTTCTCATTGAAGTTTCTCAGCTCTAAGAAAAGGGAATTTTGGTCAGCTGATGTGGACTATGAGCTAAGCAGTCAAGGCCATTAGAATAGTAATACTGTCTTATTCTGGATATTGAAGTGAAAAGAAGAGGCATAAGAAACAAAGACTGGAAAGAGGGAGGCTGAGTAAGCAGGAGAGGAAGGTAAGAGAAGTGCATCTGGCAGGGAATGGGCCAGTAATAATAACAGCACCATTGTCCTTTAACCCAGAAAGCAGCAAGGTGGTTGGGATAGAAGTTAGATACCTGCTCTCATAGAATGAGCAGGGTCCAAGCCCCTTCTCTGATGAACATGGTTTGTGTGACCCTGAGCAGATCGACTTCATCCTTCTATGCCCCTAAACAACCCCCTAAAAGTATAGATTGTCAAATGTTTGCATATCTGCATTAGTCAAGAGAGGCTCCCTACACTAATGAAATTAGAGGCCATGACCCTCCCCTCCACCAAAAAAAAAAAATTTAACCAGGCCCTTTAGTGCATTTCAGAAGCTCGCCTCATTCCCCTCCTTACCTCCTGTCCTGGTCTCCTAGGATTTTCCTGCCAATCCTCCACCAAAGCCACAGCCTCCTCACCACTCTCTGGGTGATGCTCTCGCACCCAGCTTTGGACCTCCCTGGGTAAGATATTCAGGAACTGCTCCAGCACCAGCAGCTCCAGGATCTGCTCTTTCATACGCACCTCCGGCCTCAGCCACCGACAACAAAGCTCCCAGAGCTGACTAAAAGCCTGGTGGGGTCCAGACACCTCCTGATACTGAAACTGCCGGAAACGCTGACGGGAGATCTCAAGATCGAGTTCATCTCCCCAAAGAGAAGATTCTTGTTTCCAGGAGGAATCTTCTTCTAATTTCACTATGAGGAGCCCCTCCTGCTCTGCTGGAGACTGAACTGGGGACTCAAGGGCAGTGGCCATAGTAGAGTGTGTTGAGTGGCTTCAAATAGGCTGGGCTCCAACCTAGGTGGACCTCCTCCTTGTTTGCCTTATCACCTCGAGATGGGCAGGTGCCTGTAACCGAGGGGCTTCTCCCCCTAGATCCCTAGGAACAGAGACACAAAGGATGTGAGCAGAAAGGACCAAGCAGACTTATTCTGCTCTCACTTACCCTGGCATTCCAAGAATAAAAGGTTGCTATATAATCCCAACCCAGACTTCTTCCCTCAACGATAGTCAAAAAGCTGCTCTCATGTGCCTGCTTGCCAATCTTTCTCTCATCAGGAATGCTTTGTTTGTGAGGCCCCCTCACCCACAAGCAGGAAGCTGGATCACAGTCTGATACCAAACTCAGAAAAGGCAGTGGCAGGCCTCTTTGCAAAAGGCAGCAGAGGTAAGTCAAATGATTTGGCTATGAATCTGAAAACACAATTTATTCACGGGGAAGTACAGGTTTTCATCCATGCTATATACAGTAACAAAAGCTATCAGCATTACTCGGGTGAGGCAGAGATGGCCAAGCTAAAAAATGCCTTCCAAAGCTTCAGAGGGAATTATACTGCAGGATCAAATTAATCCCATTTCTGAATCTCACAAAAACTGAGCTCAGATTAACATGGGTCAGAGGAATGGTTTTAGCATTTTTGACATTGACATTTTGACATGTTGTTCCCCACTGGGCTGCGTACTCAACAGGTACAGTATCATAGCCAGGCAGTAACACTGCAGCAAAAGGACCAGGTGGGTGTAGATTTTTCCAATCTTAGGAAGCTGGGATCACAGATCATATGGCAAATCTGGTGTTTAAAAGTTCTTTACCCAAAGAGTAGGGCAGGTGATACTCTAAAATTGCTAAGAATATACATAATTCAGTTATGAAACAGAAATCACAACTCTTTCATTACCAGAAAATCATCACAGCCTTTTCTCCCCCTTTCTCAGAAGAATTCTGATAGCAATGAAACAGTCAAATGTAGTTGGCCAAACAGCTGCTCAACTCAGCTCCATGTCAAAAGCTGGCCCAGTTCCCTATAAATTCCAGATGCTATGATCTATACAAGTCTGGCCTGGAAAGACTCTACTCCCATGAGTTCTCCCCCTGGCTCTAAGTCTCCTTAGGAGACTGACAGTACTAAAGTATCATTGGAGGTTGGCTACTAACCCCAAGACCTGCAAGAGTGATTTAAATTCCCTACAAAGATCTCAAGATTGAACCTGGCCTACTCAATCATTCTTAGAATTAAAGACAATCAAGTCCCAGTACAGACTATCTCTTTTCTCCATACCAATACTGAGCCACAAATGATAGGGATATATTTCCCATGCCCAAATCACAGGGCTCGGCTGGACTCTAACTAACTTTAAATTTAATATGGTATAGCCAAACAGCCTTTTGATTTCTTTAACGGACATTCACCCACCCAGCATATGTAGACAATCCATACATGATAAGGGAGAGAGAAAACTGAACACACTTATCATATGCTATATATCATTACCTAGAGAGTCCCTGTGCTTCTTCAGAGAATAAGAGAAAGGAACAAGCATTTATTTAGTCCTATCATGTACCAGGCACTGTGCTAAGTGCTTTTTACAATTATCATCTTATCTGATCCTTTATTACACTGAGTCCCCAGGACCTCCCATGCTACTCTTCTTCCCTGGCTTATGAGATTATTCCTGTCTAAAACCTCTTTATACCCTAAATACCAAGGTTCTCACTACCCCCTGTCTCCACACTAGCTCCTACTCTCCATAAGCTTCCTTTCTTCATCTTTTCATCTCCATCCCTCTCTCTCTCTCCTTCTCATTCCTGTCTCCCCAGCTCCCTCCAGCTGCCACTCTTCCTTAGCCTTGTACCCTCACCACTTTATTGCCCTTTCCTTTCTTTTGCCTGTATCTTACTACAGCCTTTGTCCCAGCTTGCACCCCAATCCTACTCTCTGATCTATCTCTTCCAATCTACTCTTCTTACCCCCTCTAACCCTCTCTCCTCCCCTGCTATTTTGAGACCCTTGTCCATCTTCCCTACTCGATATTCTTCCCTTCTTCACCCCCTCCATTCCACACACACACACACTCTTTCTCTTCCTATCTTTCACAGTTCCTCTCTTCTCTAGATCGTCTATTTATTGTTACCTGTCCCACTATCCCTGTCCTGTTCCCTCCTTCTCCCCCATCCTTCCTGAGTACCCCAGTCCCTCTCCCCTCCACTCCCTGCCCCTTTACTCTCATCCTCCAGGAGGTCAGGTCGCCCTCTGTCCCTCCTCCCCGAGTCCCTTCCCTGACCCCTTCTCCTGTTCTTCCCATTTCACAGACCTCCGCCCCCCCCTACTGTCTCTTCTCACCCCCGCCTTTCTGCCCCTCCTACCCTGCCCCAGAATGTCAGGGACCCCTGGGTCCCCGGTCCCTGGGTGTCCTTCCTGCCTCCTTCCCTTCTCTGTCCCTCCCCTGTCCTCTCTCAGTATCTCACACGCTTCCCCCAACCTCCCCTCCCCCAGAGTGTCAAGGCCCCTCCCCTAACCCCCTCCCTCCTCATCCTCTCCTCCCACTCCAGGATGCCAGGCTTCTCTGGCCCTCTCCCAACCCTGTGCCCCCTCATTCCCTCCCCTGCACCTCCCCAGCTGCCACAACCCCTCTGCCCCTTCCTCTTCTCCCTCCCATCTCAGCCCCTCCCCCGTCCTCCCTCAGGATGTCACGCCCCCCCCCCCATTCCCCCGCGCGTCCTCTCCGCACCCTGGCCCCAGCACCCCTACCTCTGCCCTGGGTCTCCCAAGAGGGACGTCTCTGGCCCACCCCCTACCCTAGGATGGGCGCGAGCCTCCCCTCCCCCGTAGCCCGCACTCACCTCACCCCTGCCGCCCCCCCTAGAGCTCCGGCGGAGCCGACCGCCGGGCGGAAGTGACCATTGGGCTCTCGCCGGGCACGCTGGGAATTTGAGTCCCGAGGGGCGGGGCCGCCTCTGAGACTACACCTCCCAGAGGGACCTGCGCCGCAGGCCTGAGGGCGGCTCGCGCTGCCTGCCTTTCTTTCAGATTGACGGCTCTCCTAACCAACAAGTGAGGAAGCCGCCAGTGAGGCCCTCCTCTGGGGGTGCCGGGGCGGAGCGCCAAGAGGGGGAACCGCCTGCGGGGCATGAGCTGCGGGAGGGTCTGGCTTAGCGTGGAGTCTGTCCCGACAAGTGCTGGGACCCCGATCCTGTACCCCAAGACCAACCTCTTATGGGCCCAGCCCGGCGAGAGACTCAGAAAGACTTTAAAGAGACGATAAGGGACAAAGCCACAGAGGCAGACACTAAGGGGAGACAGAGTCCGGAGATACCAAAGGACAGAGACACCGAGACAGAAAACACAGAGACATCAGAACAGAAGCACTGAGACAGAGAGCACAGAGATACCAAAACAGGCCACTAAGGCAGAGACGCCAAGGGACAGAACCTCAGAGAGACACACCGAGAGACAGCCATCAAGACAGACAAAGAGGGAGAGAGAATCCCGGAGACACATAACCAAGGGACAGAGCCACAGAGACAAAGAGATCACAGAAACACCGAGGCACTGAACCACAAAAAGAAAGCAGAGTCACAAAGTCACAGAGAGAGAACACAGAGAAATTGAGAGAGAGCTACAGAAAGAAAAAGAGTGACCAAAGCCAGAGCCACAGAAAAGAAACACAAGGCATCAAAGGACAGAGCCACAGAGAACCTAAGGGACAGAACACCAGAGAGAAAGAGATCACATTAATATTAACTTCATATGGAAGGAAATCAGAATGGGGAAAAAGCGGGGAAGGGTAGGAAAGAGGAGCAACCCTCCTATCTTTTGTGATTGGTTTCATTTAGGGAGGATGAGGTAGAAAGCTCTGAGCCAGACAGTAGTCCCAAATGGTTTAGGGACCACTGAACTTAGGACCATGTGCACCTCTCCTCGTTATTTGGCAGGTGTTGGGTTCTCCAGCTGCCTTCCATCCTTCGCACTTGCCAGCCAGCCAGCCAGTTCAGTAACTCCCTTTAATGCTGGTTGGCTATGTTCCAGGTCCCTTAATGGTTAGACCATCCTGGCAGGGAAATGTGATAGATAACTTCCATCCTCCTTTATAGCATGTACTCTAACTGGCACCCAGTTTATTTGAATCTAAAGAGCTGGACTAAGCAGTAATGATAGATCTGCATTTCTTTCAAGGCCTTTGTGAAGAGATTTCTGACCCTCTGGCCCTCAATAATGTCTTCCTTCTCTGAACGCCTATAGTACTTATATGTTTCATATGACCCTTATACTGCTTGATGTTACTAGTTATGCTTTTTGGGGGCACCTACCCAAATATTTTCCTGCTGGTGCTCTATGGCTTGTAGTCATGGAACACTATAATCTCAGAAGAATCACAATAAATTTAAATAGGCAACAGCATATTACTATCAATGAAGTAAATATGAAAAGTGGCATAAAGTTCATATTCATCATAGAGGTAGACCTGAAAGGCACTTGAGAAGTCTCCTAGTTTTCCTGACTCCCAATCTAGTACTCAGTCCACTATTTTACATAATCGTCAAACAAATAAACAAACAAAACACATGATAGGACCATAAAATTAAACCTTAAAAGGATTTTAGAGATCAAATTTAATTGGGTGTTAGAGTCAGCTCCCACCAGATTCTGAGAGATTATGCTACAAATCAATTCTGTTAATTGTCTGGACTTAAGAAATCAATGGAGAACATATTAATAATGCAGGTTAAACTTAAAAATGTGTCCTGTGTACATGGTTTTTTTTTGGGGGGGTAGAGGCTGGTTGTTAAATGTTTACCAGCACATACCTAATTCAAGCCCAGTTCCCCTAATTTTGTTAGTGAGGCTCACTACCAATAAGGGGGAATCAGGAAAGGCTTCTTTCTTATAAAAGTTGGGACTTGAAGGAAGCCAAAGAGACTAGGAGATGAACGTGAGGAAGGTTAGAATTCCCATTATGCAGAACCTGGATTTGAACCCAGACGCTTTGTTTCCAAATCCAGTTTTCTTTCCCCCACACCACTTTGATTACTATTACATGACTATGGTGCTACCAGTAATGATGCCACAGGATTTGCTATGATGGAGAGATGTCAGCTAGACAATAGTACAGTCATATATTCAGTACTACTTGAATAACCGGAATAACTCATAGAAACAGGTCTTTGTGAAATGCACCAGGAATCAGATCTGTGCTTGACCCTTTGATGCTTAACATTTTTATGAATAACTTAGATAAAGTCATAGACAGAATACTTAGCAAATTTGTAGATGACCCAAAGCTGGGAGATAGAACTAACACACTAGAAGACATTCAGTATCCGTAAGATCTTGATGGGTTAAAATATTGCAAGGAACCTAATAGGATGAGATTTGGTGGTGGAGGGCAAGGGGTAGGGGCAGACCCTTAAATAGTAGTTTGTCTTAAAAAAAAAAAGAGCTGAATATTTTGGTAGGCTGCACCGTCAATATATGTCAACAAAGTTATCTGACAACCAAAAGTTGAATGAAGTCTTTGGCCTCACTAAGACATGCATGGCTTCTAGGAATAAGGAGGTAATAGTCCTCTGAGACTACACCTAGAGTATTTTATTCAAGCCTGGGCACCGCAATTTAAGAAAGATATGGGTATAATTGGGCAGCTAGTGGTATAGTAGACAGAGCACTGGCCCTGGAATCAGGAAGACCTGAGTTCAAATTGAACCTCAGACACTAGCTGTGTGACCCTGAGCAAGTCACCTAATCTAGTTTGCCTCAGTTTCCTCATCTGTAAAATGAGCTGGAGAAGGAAATGGCAAACAACTCCAATATCTTTGCCAAGAAAACTCCAAATGGGGTCATGAAGAGCTGGACATGACTATTCAATTAAACAACAATTGATATAACTAGAGAGCTTCTATAGGACTGCCAGGATGGAAGGTGGAAGGCCAGAGAACTCTAGGTGCCCTGTTTTGGAGTCTCAGAGAACAGCTGAAAGAAGTCCATTATCTAGCTATGGCTTCCGCACATGAGAACATTGAGGGGTGCATGTTTGTGCCCGACACATAATAGACACTTAACGAATGTTTAATGGTTGATTGAGGAACATACAAAATTAGGATGATGGAATTTACTCTATTTACTAGGGCTAGGAGCCCTAGCCAGGAGAGAAAACCCTGTGGTACAATATTGGCATTCCTGAAGAGCATGCCGTAGCTGACTGATCATTGGGAAGTCTGGAAGCCACCAGGAAGTCTCCCAGTCCATAAAATAGCCACAGAAAATTCATGTACCATGCCAAGACCACAATGCATCACAGTCGCCCATGCCCCATAGGGGAACTGATGGGATGGCCAAGTGAACACTCCCTGGACCTTACACCTTGCTGACTTAAGCCATATGGAGGTATGTGGTTACTGGTCTTTGGATGCCTTCAGCCAGTTACACTCAGTTTTGTCTCAATTTGAATTAGCAAATATCTGTTAAGTGCCTACTATGTGTAAGACCCTGTGCTAAGGCAAGTAAGACGAAAAACAACATATTCCCTAAGAATTTACAGTCTGGGTGAGGAGATTAGCAGGGGCAAGGGTGATAAGGCAGGTGCATTGGATAAATATGACACAAATCAGAGGGATAGAGGCAGAGATTCAGACAAAGTGCTCTAGTAAAATTCAAGGAGGAAAATATCTATATAATGATGGAGTTGGTCTGTAAAACCAAGGAGTCTTCCAGCTGTAAGTCCTATGAGTCTCTGATCACTTTCACTCATAAGAACCAGGGAAGGATACAAAGAGGAAGAACCACCAGATATGGGCCTTAAAAGAAGAGAATATTTCAGCAAATAGAGACAAAGAGAAGGGTTTTGTTTTGTTTTCCCTGAGCTCAGCAAATGCCCAGAGACAGAGAAGGGGAGGGTGAGAAGAAGGAACAAACCGTCATCCAAATCAACAGAGGATCGGGCTCTTGAAGAAGTCTAATGAGAAATAGACCCTAGGTTCAAACAAGAAAGGAACCCCTTCTCTTGGAGGCAAATGGCTTGGGGATAAACCCAGGCTTGGAATGCTGGTAAAATGGTATGCTTCGATATGGCTCTCAAATAGGACGTCATCAATATGGGTCCTACTTCTGTTAGTGTGACATTGTGAGCAGAG